CCTTCAGCTGTAAAAAAGAAAAGTATCATTTATTCGCTATCTTTGAAAAATAAGATATAAAACTATATATATGTATATATTTGAGAAAAATACACGCGGACATGTATCGAAGCATCGTTAAGTGTATATTGTTACAGTGTGTTTAACATTTGATCGTGTGTCCAGTGTGTGTTTCATGCTCTTGAGATGAGATCCCGTCAACATAAGCTTCTGTCGGATATAAAACCCTTTATAACAGTTATAAATATATACAGAAATACGAAAGAATTGGTTGTTATTGACATTATTTCGAAAAATCACACTGATCACTATAAAAGGCGATAAAAAACTACATATACATATATGTAGTCTCGTCTAGTGTGTGTGCATTTTTATAAAACTACTTTTACTAACTACTATTTTCTTCACGTCCACGTCACGCTGAAGTAGATAAAGGTATACCTTCTTAAAAAATAAAAATATTATTTGTTAAGATTGCAATATACCTTAAATATATCATATATTATGATCGGTCAATCATTCATACATATTGCAATATTCTACAATACAATACAATATTCTTATCTTAAACACTAGATCTTGTTCTGGAGCTAATGATTTGTACATAATATTTCTGTTCACAATGCTCTAAGTCTCACATCACTTAACACAGATTAGACAACATATAACTAAATAGTTCCCAAAGCTGATTGTTTCTCATACAATGATCTTACGCACAATCTTCATCCATTGTAAACAGATTAAACCGCTTTCCCTCTAATAATCTATGCAGCCACATCTTTACCCGCCGATGTATTCTCCTGAACGATCAATGAAGATATTTGTATATCAAACCCATGTATTGGAAGTGTATCCAATATCGGAGATCATATACTATGAATATATAAAACATGTTACATATATTACGACTTGAGTCAGTCATATCGATGTTTATAAGTTACTTGAAATACGGCATATATAGACAGGAGTGCATTATAATTCTATGAATCACTTCAGAGCTCTTACTTCTAGTGGCGTACGTAATGTTGTGATTGTGTGATGAATAAACACACACACACACACACACACACACATTGCTTTTTATAGAGACTATAATAATATAAATATTTGAGGTGTAGACATAACTGTCACTGACCCGTAAGTAGAAGCAACTTGTGAAGCATATAATGACCTATGATTTTTTCCTCTTATCATGAATTAAGAATATATCTATATTATTTTCTTGCATTTGTTAGGTGATCTAGCACATAGCATGAGTGTGCTTGTAGACTGTAGTGTTTGTTAGTGTGTCGAGGCGTGTCGAGAGGCGTAACAAATTGTAAAACCATCGACAGTTGAAGTTATCGAAGTAGTGTTCTAGCTGGTAGTATAGTGACCTTACAGTTTGTTATTGGTTGTGTCACTGTAGTACTGTAGAGTGGACTACTCTTTGTAACTGTCACTATAATAATTTATTTAAAAGCATTTTCCATATTACAGAAAAAGTGTGCACTGTTATATACCGAACTTAAGTCTGTATTATGTTTATATGTTATACGCAAACAAAATAATATAAATAATTAACTCGACGTCTAGCTGTGAAGCATATAAAATAAAGTCATTTAAAATGTGGTATAAAATAAAATTCGTTAATAATTTTAATACTTATATTCAGCAATCAACATGAAAACGACACCTTAAAATAATATAAAGAATTAGAACATAATGTAGTAAATGATTTCAGAAAGCTAGGTCAGAGACAGATTACACTGAAAATAATTGAGACCAACACTCACAAAATATAAAACACTAAATAATATTTATTTCCCAGCATCTGTTCAGTGTTTACTGTCGAAACAGACGGGAACAACGTTTTTAATTTCCTTCTCTTCACAATCTCCATTTAAGCTTCACAATTTAACAGACTTTATAGTATTAAGAAAATACTTTATATAATATAATGATTTAATTTATCTTCAACCTTTCACATTACAAAAGGGAACCGTTTCTTATCTAAAACAATTAAATGATTAAAATGTGTGTGACATGGTGAATGCTGACATGATTCCTCCTTTTGATGTTGGAAACATGGGTTCAATGAATAGGTCAGTAGCAGCGGAGGTAATCACCCTCGCCCCTCGCCCCTCGCCCCTCACCGACCTGATCTGTTCCATCCTTAATGTTATCAGGATCACATCCCACACCAACCCTCGAATATAAACATACAACCTACGACTCGACCCAGATACATTGTAATACTTCATTAAAAAAATATCTCTTGAAATACTTCAACTTAATATTGAATTGTAACGAAACAATCAGCTAGAACCTTGACGAATAATGTAGTACTGCATCGAATGAAATAGAATTTTATGTTTTGAAATATCAGAGGCAATGTTGGAGGAATACAAATTTTATGTGATCTTATAACGTTACAAAAGATACGATATCTGGAACGTCGGCATTCATACGTAACATATTTTACATTATTATCGAAAATAACATATTTTATTTTCATAATTTTAAAGATATTTTTACATTTTAAACGATGTCATTAATTACGTACTTCCCAATAACGGTATACATACTGTGAAAGCTACTTACGAACTTCTCACAATTGATGTGTGTTATAAAATTTAATAATGTTAACAATAGCCGGCGCCCGGCGGGACGTGAAGCTGGGACAGAATAATATACTTATGAGTAGCGAATATACATAATAACCACAAGATTTACCATGTTGCATAGCATTCGTTACCTTCTTGTAAGTTCGTTGAAAACAATCGCAGATCATTAAAGTCCATAACAAAGAAATCTCGTTAGAGTTGTTAAATTTCATTATAGTGACAAACAGCTAGGTCAGTGTAATTCTATCTGTCCGCGTGTAACTTGTCTGCGGGCGGGTTCATTAAAACTTGACTGGGTAAAGTGCCGCTCAGGAGTTTGTTGAGATATGATGCATATCACATTACCCACTACTGCTACTGAACATCACTTTTTAATGTTCTCTCCCATCAACGCTACATTTTATTTTTCTTTAAATTTTTTTATGTCCTTAATAGTTTGGTTGAAACGATAAGGCTTGAAGCACATTAAGTTTAAAGAATATTTTCTTACGTAACTGTTCCAAATTCTGCTTCAATTGAGTAACTTTAATATATGTTTTTATATAAAACAATATTTACAATACAACTTAGGCTTATTAATATCAATATCCGTTATTTTTGTCAGTACAATAAAATGACGGCTGAAAAATATGAATAAAACTGACTAAGGTTGCTGGAAGGCACGTTGTAAGTAGACATTATATATACGTTATATAACTTATAATTATTTAGCTTTAAATTAGTATCCACGACAGATATAGTGACGTTTATAGGACGAAGTGAATGTTGTTGACACTCGACGTAGTATATATGTAAAACATGAAATACACCAGCAGCTTGTTGGTTGATCTCCCAGACGTGAGCTGCATTATAATGAAGGGATCCGGGCACGCGGCGGGTTCAGAGATGCACTCACTGACAGCCAATCATGGACGAATTGAAGCACTATTGAATACATCTATTGTTAACTCCGAGATATTTATAGAAATGTTGAATTTTGTATTTTTATTATGAATAGTTTTTATGACCATGGATATAATAACAATTTGGGACATTCATTGCGCTTTGTTCCGAATGAATTGTACATTCATATACACTATAGAATATTCATTTGATGAACTCTCGTATCGGAGAATAAAATAATATAACTTTTTATAGCATTGTTAGAAAAATTAAACGTAGAATAAATAAAGGAAAGATATTATAATGTAGTCTTTGTATAGTCTTGTATGTTTAATAACCCACAGAGATATTATATGGATATAACTGTTAAAGTTTGAATCATAGCAATCAAAACATGTGCGGTTTATGATATCACAAAAGAATAATATTTCATACAGACGAGTGGGACGTTATTTCAGTCGTCTGAGAGATGATACAAATACAACGTTAGAGCTTTAAAAGTATTTTTACACATCTCGTTTCCTTTTCTTATATTTGATGCATGTTTTTATAAGCCTCCGACTGCGTTGCCTGAAAGCTTTGACGTCGCAGAGGAAGATTTAATCTCACTTAATATATGAAAACATTCCGCTTTGAAATAAAACAAATGAAATGACTCTTATTTGTCTTCTAATATATATTAATGTACGAATCAAAAACTAAACCTATGCGGAATGTATGTCGGAATACCAATAGTATGAAGAGTCGCAAAATCGATTTTTTTTAGTGTATCCCAGATACAATATTAGTATCAACAAAGGGAAAAATTAATATTGAAACAGTAATAAATATCGCGTTGACTGTTGACTTATATTTCAGACAGATTGACAATCTTTTAGGTTGGAACAATAAAATTTTCATATAAAAATAATGAAATTTAAATAAAATATGAGTGTAGAAATGAGCAACATTTTGTAGTAGTCTAAAGACTAGGTTTTTAAATAATTCAGAGAGTGACTTCAGACGAAACCACTTTGTAATTTGAGAGTCCAACCTCGTGTCAACGGAACACTGGGTACTGTTTAATTCGATCTATTTAGTTACTGCTATAACATGTCATATCTTTCGAATATCTGACTGACTGCCTCAAATTTTAATTATAAATATATATTTGGAATATAAATACAACACTGATTTAAATCATTGAATGTACTTTTCTATAACAGCAAAAATTATATTAGTATATATTTGTTTTAGTAAACCTAAATAATGAGTAGTCACTGTTAATTATATTGTTTAAGTAATGTCAACACTGTTAATGAATTAAAAAATTAACCCTTTACTAACTGGCCCTTAATCACCCAATTTGTATATCATTTATAATTAATTGCCCAATTCATTAACACGGTTGTTGATTAACTTAATTAATTAATATTTAGTTGAGGGGGATACCTGTCATATAAATAGGTCTAATTTAACAACAAACCATCATTCCTAAATCAGTCGCCAGTGACACCGCACATACTATACAATATGGAACTTCACTTACATCTGACAGCTGTTTCTCGTGCTCTGGAATACAAATGGGGTACACCTGTGGACCTGGAAACTTCCGAGGATATGAGGACGTGTTTACCGGCCGTCATAGACTTACCAACAACCACGTTCTCCTCCGAAGAATATTTAAGAAGCATAAGAAGGAACACATCTGAACGTGCACTAAGAAAACCAACCCTGCATAGAAAGGACACCTTCGATAATATTTCACAGTCGAGATTACCCAGTGAAGAAATTGTGTGTGAAGTATTGGATAAAACCATTTATTTCTTGGACGATACTATAGATTCAAAATATGATTTAGATAGCTCTGAATTTATCGACAATTACACTGAGAATAATCTGCGGAACAATGACATCGAATACTATATGAATGAAAAAAATAAGGTTCTAGAAAGGATTAAGAATGCAGAAAAAAGTGAACTCCGGTCAAAATATTCTTTCAGAAAGTTTAGAACCTCAACAACTCTATTCGCGAAGAAGTTCCTGAAGAAGAAATGATTCCTCAATATAGTCATGAATGTGTTGGTGTATATAAAATGTAAATAGTTAGGTTAATTTATGTTGTTTTGTTTCTGTTATAAATATAGATATCGTTTTTACGTATTTCTTTGATTGTTCCCTACCTTCACATGTCACTACTCTGTTCGAATTGAAATCCAAATGTAACATTTTATCCAATTTTCAGTCACTTTGTTTACAAAGTGCGTCTCGGAGTGGAACGCCAGTCGTCTGACTCCGGAGCCACTCTAATAGCTCTCCAGTCCCTATTAATTACTAATGTAACTGGATTCCCTTCGAGTTGTGTCCGAGATTACTTGTATCATCTAAAGTAGTACGCTTTACTCGTGCCATGACTAAAAATAGAATCAATTTAAATAAAAATTTACATTTAGCTTGCAATTTATTCCTTCAATAGGCGTCATTGGATAACATTCTAAAACTCGACACAGAGTAGATTACTTTTACAAACTAATTAATTGATTACTTGTACTTAAATTAAACTAAGTGTTAAATTTCTCCCTCAATATCATGTTTAGATTAGTGATAATCTTTTGATGAAATCACTTATGACGGTTATATTACTAACTTTCAATAGATTATACATCCAGTTCATGACAGTATACAACAGACTGTATTATGATTGAATAAAAAGAAAAGAAAAAATTAATAAAATCTTTATTGTTTGTATATTTGTGTTAAGAGTCTCTGGGCCTATTTTCGTACATACATACATAAGCTTCGGATTCTTCGAATGACATACAGTCATACATATAAATTTCATGAAGTTCCATCCGTATAAATAACTTGTAATATATGTAGTATCCAATTTGATCAGTTTTTCAGTTATAAATATAGTGTAGAGTGTAGTATTATGTAAAGTACACAGTTTCTTTTGTCGGTCGATACGCGAGCGTTATAAAGATATAATATTCCGTCAGTGGCTCACGTCCCGAGAGACGAGAACGAAAAATTGTTCAGCGATACGCATTATGAATACTAAGAGCCTTCAATGTGATACACTTACGTTATTAATAATATAATTAATGTTTACCTAATGTTAATAATATCTATCATAAAGTATAGGAGAATAATAGCTGGTAGTAAAACTGATATGTTTTTACATTAGTTTTATTTTATATTAACTGAACATTTCACAGTGTCCTCTCCTTGCAAAATGTATTTCATTTTTAAGGTTGTCATCGCAGCAACGATAAAGCCAGCGGGACATTTATAAACAAATGCCCGCGTTGTGCGATTTAGATCCCCGCCGTTGTTTTCTGTCCAACTAATGGCGTTGCTTGTAACAGAAACTGCTAACAGAGCTCACTGTTATGTATTCACTACAGGCTCGCGGTCATATTTTTTTAATGAATGTACAAAACATTTTGTATTAAAAGTCGCCGTCGGCGTAAATTTCTTTCAACCTGAAACATGTCATTGTAATTTTCATATATGTATATAATGTATATACTGGGTATAGTGACTACAGCTGGTGTTATCTTTCAATGTACATTCCGAGTTCTCCTTGTTGATAGTGATCGTATGTTCCCAGGGTATATTCCGGCTGGCGTGCGAGCACGTCGTCCGCACCATGCGTCGCGGCCGGGAGACTCTCCTCACGCTGCTGGAGGCCTTCGTGTACGACCCTCTGGTGGAGTGGGGTGGCGGGCGTCGTAAGCGCGGAGCCCGCCACGTGCGAGCAGCCAAGGCCATGCTCGCGGTTCGCGTGAGAGAATTGAAACACTCCGCCACCGATATCACGTGAGTGTATTAGATGTGTTTGAAGAAGTATTAGTGGTATCGCTGATCGTTATGAGCCAACTAAAAATAGAACCTTTCCAAAATAACAGCGAGCTTCGGTATAAATAGACGTCATTCATAATGTCGCGTGCTCGTTAACGTGGATCGAGTACTACAAAACACCTTCATTAATATTCAATATTTCGGGAACGATTCCATTCATTCCAATTAAGAAAACAATATAAGAACATTCTAGGACGGTAAACATCACGATCGGACCACAGAAATTATATAATACATACTGTACTGTATGTTTAATGTTAATACGAGTATGTCTTACTTATAATATAGTCCATTAACAAATGAATCTTTCTATTTTTCTATATAAACAACTCATGGTATTTATTCATAACAACAATACTGAAAATACCGCGTCTACGTCGGTGTTTGTGCCAACCGCAACTTGTAATTATAAAGGAGGCAAACTCATTTCGCTCTATTTGTTTTTCCTTTCCTTTGGTGGCTTTTAAAAGACACTCCTCACGCGCCTGAAGTGCATTCATCCTGGATTGATGATGATGCAGACTTCAGTATGCGCTTCTGCAAATACGAATATTAATATAAAAGCAATTCCTAACAGGTTTCGTGAATAAAATATTACATTCCGAAATCCTACACAATAAAATGAGAAATGTTTCTGTATGCTACAGTATACATGATATGTAAACACAATCGTTTTGTGACGCTTCATATATTTTCGCTAACAGCTTCGATAAAGGGTATATTGCCTGTTCACTGCCACATAGATATAGGGAATGGAAAGACTGTTTTAAGGGAAGTGTTTTCTGTATCCAGTACGACCGTTTAGCCGAACAATAAATACAAGTGACGCATGTTTTACTCTCTCTCGGATCTATGTTTATTTACTAAACATCATAAAATAAATGATGACATAAGCACTCGTTATATATTTTGAATAGGAAATTTTGTGCCTCTCGAAAAGTGCGGCAGTATTTTATGACGGGACAGCTTTTTCGTTTATACAAAAGCGTGTCCATCGTGTGGATACCATACGGCTGTCATATTTGAGCATGGTCTGCCAAATATCATCTCACTGACTTAGACTCGGTGGAGAGACGTGTTAAAAATCTCATTGGTGTGAAATCCAAACCAGTCGGCCTAGAAAACAAAAGAAAAGTATGATACTAAGTCATTCACCTCCTACGATTTGAATGAGTAAAACACTATCTCGTAGAAATTTAAAACTATTTTTTTTTTCACTTTATTTCATGTGTTTAAGCATGGTGTATATAATAATATTACTAGATTATTAACTGAATAAAACTAAAATAAATATTTTGTCTAACTGTTCTATAGATATTATTGGAAATAAGAGTCACCTTAAACTTGATGCGAAACTTTGTAAAAAACTCACACGCAATATATCAAATAAAAATTCATTTTAGTTAGGGTAAATACTTTGTGAATTTTTGACGTAACCCACAAATTTCATTCTGTTACAGAAATCAGCTGTTGGCTATACTTCCAGAAGTAAAACAGTGTGCGGATAAGTGGTTAGAAGAAAATGAACAGTTATGTACTGTTGAGGAAAAACTTGAAATGTGTCACCAACAGATGGCCCTCATCAAAGAGGTCGAGGCGTGCGGCAACAACCTCAGCAGCCACCCTCTGTACGCCATCTCACAGAAATATACGTCATACAAACAAGCCAAAAACGCGGTCGAAGACTCCATGAAAGCTCTCGTGAAAATCCTCAACGACTTCGATACTCAGATAGAAAGTTTTGCAAACACTAATGACGTATTGAACGGCCCGCAGCTGATGTCCTGGGTGCAAGAGTTCTCCGGGCCTCACTACGACGACGAGAAACCCATATTCGAACCCATAAAAGAGTTTTTAACCAACGCCGGAAAAGGTTCCATGATATCACAGTTCGAGCAGGCGGAGATAGAGTTGAACCAGAGCATGCAGCAGACAAACCTACTGGTGAGGTCCTGTCTCGAGCTGCTCACACAGTACGTGGCCGTCTCTCAGTACTACCCGCAGAGTCGGACCGAGTACCACCGACTAGTGATGTTCCGTAAGTACCTGGCGACAGCTCTGGAAAGTAAGTCGCCGGAAGTGTGTCGCGAGGTGGCCGGCCAGGTCACGGCCCTGGTGGAGGCGGACAACGTGACCGGGGACTCGCAGCAGATCATCGCTTACAACTATCGCTTGCATCAAATCAACGCGGAGGCGAACGCCTACCTCAACAAGTGCCACGAGAGGCTGCAGCTAGAGGGCGGGCCCGACGCCGTCGCTCTGGCGCAGGACAGCTACATGGAGGCCAAGAACAACATCAACAACTGGCTGCGGGCGGAGGAGGGCGCCGGGCTGGCTCTGGAGCACGCCGCTATAGGGATGCTGTGTAGTCTGAACAGGAGGTACCTCATGCTGGAGAACGGCGCGCAGAGCGCCGGGGACTGTCTGGTGGACCTCACGTCCCGCGACGGAGAGTGGTTCCTGGACGACATGAACTCGCTGTCCATGCAGGCCATCGAGCTGCTGTCTCTGCTGCCGCTGTCCTCGGCCACGGCGGACGACGCCGCCCTCACGGTGGCCGTGGAGTGTGTCAAGAACGCTAATCTGCTAATAGCCGACTTAGTGCAGCTGAACTACAACTTCAGTACGATCATTCTCCCCGAGGCCGTCAAGAAAGTGCACTCCGAGGATCCGTCGACGCTGCACATGATCAGCGAGCTGACCGCGCTCATCAGCAACACGCCCGTGACGCTCACCGATCTGCTCGCACAGCTTGAGATGCACTTCCGCTACCTGCTCATGGACATGGAGGTAGGCGGGCTTGTATTATATCATGACTGATGACACCCGGAAACTTCTCCGACGTTAAAAAATTCGCAAACAAACCGATATTATATCTTTTTACTTATTTATTTATTAGTAATTACAATGGTTTACAATTTTTTTTTGTTCTCACCAAGCTATTGTGCTTCACGGTGAGACGCGCTCATTTCGTTTAACATAAAAATAATAATAATAATAATGGTTCACAAAAAATTAAAGAAATAAAAACATAACAACATGTTCTTTAAAACTAAAAGTAAGTCAACACTATGTATTAGTTTTATAATATTATAAGTTCACTGCGGTCTTGTTTCACGATAACGACAGGTTTTCGTCATTGAGAGACAAGTCCCTAAGTTTTGTTTTTAACATTTGTTTACTTATTTTATCATTTTTTCTTAACATATCAATTTTATTAAATACTTTAGATACTACATATGTATGCTGAAAATCTTTCTCCATAATTATTTTTTAATCTTGGTTGTACAAATTTATTCTTTTCCACATACCGAGTATTGTATACATTTTTTATCGGTATGTTATATTCTGTGTTGTAATAATACTCTAATCCTATTAAATATTAATTTTTTTTCTGTCGGTAAAATTTTACAAACATTAAAGAATTTTTCATAGTCCTTATTACAATTATCCTTATCTTTTTTACTTACTAGGAACTTGATTAGTCTTATTTGTAAATTCTTAACGTCCTTTATATACGTCATAAACGTTCGCCCGTAAACCATTAGTCCGTAACTTATCAACGAGTCAGCAAGCGCAAAGTACACGATCCTTAACGTATGTTTATTTAACACCGATTTTAATTGATAAAGTTTACATAATACTGATCTTATCCTGCTACAAACATCATTTACATGTATCTTCCAGTCTAAATAACTATCAATGTTTAGGCCTAAATACTTAAATTTATCCACATATTGTAGTTTTATACAGTTGCAGTTTAATTTGTTGTTATGTATACAATCATACGTGTGACCTACTACAGTAAGATATTGTGACTCAACGTACTTAGCTCTCAGATTATATGGCGAGTATATTTGCATATTTAGTTTTTTCGTTATTTAATATGATTCCATTGTCATGTGCCCATTTGCAGATATTGTCGAAGTCCTCCTGTATATATTTTTGAATTTCCGTTTTATCTTTTGACGCATATATTAAACACATATCATCTGCGTACATGAACACCCGACATTTATTGACAAAGTTGGCTACACTGTTAACATGCATGATGTAGCCGGTCGGTACACCGAGCTCCACGGGCGCTTCTTCACCACACACACCGGCGACCATCGTTCGTATCTTCCTACCAGTTAAGTAATTTTTGAGCCAATCATTGACAGGGCCCCGTATTCCGCATTCATCCATCGCTTGCAGTAAGATATTATGGTCTAAGGTATCGAATGCTTTTTTATAATCTATAAAAATGCTTATTATCTGTTTACCAGAGTGTAAGCATTCACTAGTGTATTCTGCAAATTCTGATAAGGCAGAAACAGTGTTGCGCCCTTTCCTAAAGCCAATACTTTATGGTGTTCTAAAAAGTTACTTACCTGTCCAACTATTATTTTCTCAAAGATTTTATCAATTACGGACAAAATTGCTATAGGCCTATAGTTGATGTAATCTAAACGGCTACCAGACTTGTATATAGGGCGTATTATTGCGCTCTTTAATTCATCGTGGTAAATACTTTTTGATATGGACATATTAATACAGTTGTCTATAATAGGACTCAATTGTTTTCGTTTATACTTAACATCTTATACCCGTATTCCGTCTAAACCGGGTGATTTCTCGCAAGACAAAGCGTTAATGATTTTTTAAATATCTAAAGCACTTATTTTATTATATCTAAAACTAATTACACTACAAACCACATAATTATACCTATCTAATAATTTTTCATTACATATAGGTATGTTTAATATTTTGTATTTCTTTTGTAAATGTTCTAAAAAAAATTGTACATATTTGACTAATACTATCTTGTTTACCTAAATATCTCAATATCATCTAAACTACTTTTATTCCGACCTAGCCATAAATTAATATTTTCCCATATTTTTCTAGAGTCTCCGTTACAAATTTTTATTTCCATCTGTCTATATTTATTGTTTGCATTATTTAATATTTTAGTTACCCTGTTTCTAAATTTAGTATATTCTAATCTCTTACACATATTCTTAGGTTCTTTTTTCCATATTCTCAATAAATAATCCCTACGCAGTAATAAAGAGTAAAAATGTTTATCTATCCAAGGTTGTCTCATTATTTTCTTTCGCATATTAATAATATCTGTACTTTATAAATCTGTTCAAAAACTAAACACAAAAGTTTTGTACAAAACTAAAGGACATTCGATTGTGAGTAACTGCGACCAATCATACTCATCAAGTTTTTGTTTAACACGCACGTCACTTATAACTTCCCGCACTTCGTTACACTTCACTGGTATTCTTTTGTTGCTATCTGTAAAAACAATTATTATTGTCAGTCCCCAGCCGCGGGTGCACAAGTCCTAGCGGCGGAGCTCCGTAGTCGCTACGAGGAGCTGCTGTCCCCGTCGGAGGGCGAGGCGGCGGGACAGACGCCGGGCCGCATGCTGCTCATGGGGTTCAGCGGGCTGTTCGCGGCCGTGGAGCTGCGCGCGAGGGAGCTGGCCGACCACCTCGCCGCGCCGCTGCAGCCCGCCTGGAGGAAGATCGACCACATCAACGACGCCATGCACATGGCGGTGAGTGACACACGCACACACACACACACACACAAACACACACACACAGGATCCGTAACGAGTAAGGTGATGCCCCCCAGGCCGCCATGCAGAGCCCCGCGCTGCGCTCCGTGCTGGAGGACATCTTCACGGTGCGTCGCGTGCAGACCGTGGCCGAGGTGTTCTCCCTGTGCGTGCAGCTGGCGCGGGCCTTCCGCGGGCCCCCCGCACACCCCGCACACCCCGCCGCCACACAGCCTCTGCTGGACGACGCCGCGTTGTGTAAACCAGTCAGACGGTACGCTCCCTCATGAAATATTTAATGTGATCGACTTATCTTTAAAACGAATATGCCAGCGCCTATATGTAAAAAGTATTTAATAGTCAATAAATAATTTTGCAATATAGTCAAATATTAGATCTCTATTCTAATGTGGTTAAGTACTGGGTTTGAAAAAAAAAACGTCTTTGTAGCTTTAAGTCGTATTTAATAATATTAGAAGATTTTAACATAGCATAATGAAAGCTTGGGCCAATGGGTGGTCCACCATATTTAGATGTATACATGAGATGTTTTATAAAGGAGACTTTACACTAGATTTAATTCTTTAATATAGCATACACACTATATTTATTACACTTCACTATAAACTAGTTCACTGTCCGTGTGTAACGGTTTGTTTCTTTGTCGTCAAAACTGTAAGTGACGCACCCGTCGTAACTTATACAAACACAGGCCCATACAGGTCCTCAACGCCCTGTAATCCTCTGTATAATGTGTGTGTGTAATGTTTCCAGGTTCACGGCGGAATACGTGTCCCGTTGTTTCCTGGGCGTGCACTCCCTGTCTCTGGGCCGCGCGCTGTGTCTGCTGCTGCGGCGGGCGAGGCTCGACCTGCGGGCCGAGGTCGAGCAGAAGGAGATCGGTGAGGGACGGGACGAGGAGCGACACACTCCTTACGATAATAACTTGACTCATATAAACACTTGTATTTCAGGCGCGTCCTGGAGCGTGTCGCTGGAGTCCCTGGTGGAGAAGGCGTGCGGCCCGGTGTCGGCGCGCGCCGCGGCCCTGGCCGGAGCCCTACAGGCGGCCCGGGCCCGCTCGCTCCGCGCCGCCGCCGCCGCGCGCGCCCTTGACCGAGCACGAGCCTCCGCACGCGCCAGCAGACTGCGAGCCGCCGCACACGCCAGTCTACACGCTGAAGTAACATACTACTATAATATACTACAATATGAGGACCGTCTGGAAACTATATACAACGTTATGCGTGGTTACTATTGTAACTGATACGTTTGAACAACATATGGTCTCGAGTTTATATCAAATAGTAATCTTAAATATTATCCAACATCACTGCACGGATAAATACTAACAAAATATAAACCCTCCTTCAGTACGTCTATATTGACATCAATAGTACAGTAGGACCCCGATTATCCGGACCTCGGTTATCCGAATTCGCGATTATCCGGACTGCCAATCGCGACGAGTTTATTCTAACACTAGCTGTGCCCGCGACTTCGATCGCGTGGCATAATGACTATGAGCAGCGTTATTTTGACATAACTTTTTTATTTATGAACCGATTGACATGAAACAAACACTAAAGCATAACTGAAGCATACCACAATATATTCGTGAAAACCGCATCCAACTCGGATCAGCCGTTTCTGAGATTAGCGTGAACAGACAAACAGACAAAAAAAAAAGTTAATTACATTTTTGGGTTCGACATCGACGTAACAATAACCCCTGCTATTTTTTTTATTTTTATTTTCAATGTACAGACAGCACTTTTCTACAATTTTATTATATGTATATAGATTAACATGTCAGAACTTGCATAACGCCACGCCACTCGTGAGGTCCGCGCCACCCGCACCTCCCGCGGGGTGCGGGCGGCGTACATTATGTACAATTTCTTAATAAACGTTGATTTTCGCTCATATATATTTGTTGTTTTAAATAAACACCTAACATTACATATGTATGGTACAGACTACATATGTACATATGTAAAAAGCCCGTTTTTCTTCATATGTTGGATTATCCGGACTTTCAATTATCCGGATGCCTACCGACAACAATTAGTCCGGATAATCGAGGTCCTACTGTATACAAGTGTCTTTTCTCAGATCGTGTCCGGAGCCCCCGAGCCGGGCCCGGCGCTGTCCCGCGCGGCCCGGGACCTCACGGCCGCCCGCTCACGACTCACGGACGCTCTGGAGAAGGCACAGGCGCTCCTCACACCCGCACACCAGAGGTACATGGAACATAACACAACACACACACACACACAGATAGTGACACATGGTTAGGTGTTAGATGTCATTCAGGAACAGTAGTCTTATTCCTTTCTATTGTATCAATGACTGTTATCATTTAGTTCAGTTTCATTATATGGGTATTTCTTATCAAATGTCGAATTTTCAGGTATATTGAAAAAAAAAATGTTTTGTACATATAAAGTATTTTTTTTGCAGAAATGTAAAATGTAGCTATAAAAGGTTTATTTTTGAGACATAGTCTTCCATATTTTTGTCCACAGTAGATATAAAATGAGTTAAAAATAAAAATGAAATGAGGGAATGAGTAAAAGAGTGAGGGAATGATTTTTTAATGTCTATTATATAGAAACAAATACTAATATTATGAAATTATGTAACTTTTAATATATTTAACATCACTTTTCTTGTTCTAAACAAATTTAACTTAAAACTTTGTACTTCTAATTAAAGAAAACAAACAAAAATTATTCCAAAAAATAAATAACAGAAGGTAATAAAATGTAATTAATCCTAATATGCTTATTCCTAATACCACATTATTTTAAACTTTGTACTTAACATTTCTCTTAAACATGAAAATATTTTCATGTTTTATTTTGTTTTCTTATTATTACTATTAATCTGTATGATATTTACGAATCACATGTAAGTTTTGGTAATTTAAATAACATAATTTAATCGATATTAATCGTAAAGTTCATCTAACTCTGTAATGACGTAATTCCCTCTCTTAATTAACTTTGGTTTTTAATTTTTTTTTATACCGTCTTCCCAGCTATATAATTGTTCGTCTTCTATCGCAGGCCATTTCCAAAACTTCAGTCCCCGCGTCATGCATCTTACCATTAAAAAATTTTCAAAACCTCTCCGGGATAACATGACTTGTCCCATTTGACCAGGACATAATCTCCAATGTCAGCAATCTGATGGCTACCAGAGTTATCAGTAGGTTCTTAAATGTGCGAAGAAGACGGTAGTGATACTTGCTCATTCTCATAATCTATATTGATTGTATCGATATCTATTGACTTTTGAGCTTTAAATATCTTTTCTTGTATTTTTCGCTTAACTTAACTGCATTCGTTACTTCTTTCTTCAACTTGATAATCCGTGCATACAAAATAGCTCGTCGCCTACGTATCTGACGTCTGTTACGAGCTGTTAAATATATTAAAAACCTAAAAGAATATTGTAGAAATTATTCCCTCACTCCTTAATGCAGTGAGGGAATGATCGTGAGGGAATGACGAATTTTAACTCAAATTACAAAAACACCGGCACATAACCGCAATTGGGTTTTTGAATTTTTTTTTTTTGTGATAAATGGAAAGATCATATATAAGTTTTATAACAAAACTATTTTTTTTGCAATAATTAAAAAGTTATTTCAAAATAAAAATTAAATTTTAAATTCAGTACCGAAGATCCGCCGACAGCTCCCGAATAAACCCGAGCGCGTGTGACGTCACAATGTTAGTTTTTGCTCATTGTAGCATACAGAGATATAATAATTAGTACAGTGTTTTGAGTTTTTATCTAGTAAACTCTGTTGGCATTGTTAAATAATCAAAAATGTCAAAACTCAAAAGTTATGTTTTAAAGCATGTTTTTTTATGCAAAAAGCCTAAACATTACAAAACATAAATACGTATAGTAAAGTAACTTTCACATATAGGTATGCCACGTGAGGTAATGTACCTTTAATTTAATTCTTAACTATTTTCAACGAAATATTTTTTTGTACAAACTCGCCTATTGTTGAGCAAATCGCCATTTTGAAACGTTAGGGAGTATTACCAGCTTAATAAAACTTATGGTTTCGTCCAATAATCATGTTCAATGCGATCAGAAATCGATAATCCGTAAAACGATGAGGGAATGATTTTATTTGGCGGGAAATATTAATTTAAAACAGTATTTTATTTATATGTATTCATCGTAGTGCAATTAAAATTCATATAATTCATATAACTCTATCGTCCTAATATGTTCACAATATTTGACTCATAACAATATTGTTTCATTTGTGACGAACAGACTTTTTAATAAAGGGTTTTGGAGTAAGGGACAAGATGAGGGAATGATTTTCGGAGTTGCTGCTGTTTATATATATTTTTTATTTATAATTTCACGTTTTCTTTATTAGCGACAGTAGTATAGGACAGCATAAATTGAAATGAAAAAGTAATAACCATAATGAAATCATCTGACTTAGGAATACAATTTCGACATTTTTTGAGAAATACCCATATAATCATGTGTTAATTGTTGCTGTTTGAAAGTGAAGTAATGTAAAGCATTGAGGTCAGTTGTATAGCTGCATACTGTGTGTTGTAGAGTGAAGTGGGGCGCGGGAGCGAACCCCGAGCTGTTGGGCGCGGTGGTGGCGCTGGAGTCAGGCTGGGCGGCGCGGGCCGGGAGGGCGCACGCTCTGTGCCGCGCGGGCGCTGTGCTGGCGCCGCACGCGCGCTGCGCAGCCGCCCTGGCTGCCGCGCGCCCCGCACGACACGCGCGGGCCTTGAGACACGCGCGCACGCTTAGGACCGCGCTCGCACACTGGGAAAAGGTCAAACACTCACACTAACATACATTAAACAATCATAAGTCAACGTCGCCCAAATACACGATGAGAATTTACAGGTTTTCATGAACACATCTACCCACAAGGTAGTATTGCCACATATACGGTTTAAAATTACTTTGTTTCTCAAGATTACAACCACTTTGAGGAGAATAAATAAACTTAACAAATTAATTATAATTAATATTCAGAGTGCGCAAACAAATAAACGATATTACATAAAACTTGCTAAACAAAAACATTTGTGAATATGTAGGTACATTTCAATAATTGTTTAGTGAATTTATATTTTATGCGAACATTTGTTATTGAGTATGAGGGCCGGCTTACATGTTGTTAGAAAATTTTCAAAACGTCATTTTTAAAATATGATTATTTAATAACATTACCTTTGAACGTGTGATCCTTAAGTAATTTCTTATAAATATATGTTGTTTTTGCGTCTTTAATATATAGGTTCATGAATGAAAACTTTTCAACGCTTCGTCTGTTATGAGTCAGTATAAAATAGTGGTCAAAAGAGAGACTATTACAAATACAAGACGTGTCGTGTGGGAGGCAGTGTATATGTGAGTGCGTCAGAGCCAGTATTGATGTGAGTGTCGGTATGTTCCAGGCGTGCACGCTGGCCCACAAGTACTCGCTGCACGTGTCGCCCGTCGAGGAGTCACTCATGGAGATGCTGCACCCCGAGGGAAACATCGACACGCACTGGGTACACACACACACACACACACACTTATATACGACACGACAGACATACATATATATTTTATTTTATTTCATTTGGACAACCAACCAAAGAAAACATTATTACATCATTACATTATCAAACTATTAACAATAACTTTAATTTCCTTTTAATTATAGGCTATCACATCATGCAAAATATAATAATTGTAGTATATCAAGATTTAAATTAAAAAAACAATAATAATAAATTCATTAAAACATTACATAATAATCAATAACATTGACGTAACTAATAACATTATTACAGAAAATACAATTTAACATTTCAATATAACACAAAGTTTTAAAATATCACAAAATTTTAAAAATATTTTATTTTATTATAGTTATTTTTAAAAAATGCATTATGTGTAATACTAAAATCAATCAAGAAGAAAATGTATATTATATGTACATACATGAATATTCATAAATGTCTATAAAAATATCGTTAATTCATGACAAACAGATCCAAGTTTAATTTAAATTATAATTTTAATAGTGCATGCATTATTAATGTATTATTTTAAAAAGGCCAAAATTTTTTGCCTAAATTGTACCAACTTGTCATGACATATGTCTAAATCATTTATTTCTTTAGAAGTGTTATTATATGTATAACGTCGCCATTCTGGGTATTGGTGAGTTTTTACCTAAATGAGTCCTATATGTTGCAACTTGAAATAGTTTAGAAGGATAGCGACGATCTCTTGATGGGATTCGAAATAAAAATCTAGTCAAGAGATCTGGATATTCAATTTTGTTGTTTAAAAGTTTGTAAAGAAACATTAATGATAGGATTTTTCTTATGTTTTCAAGACTGCAAACGCTAAAGTAGTTTAACCTGTCATTATAATCTTTAAGATTTAGTTTAAATCTGAATGATAATTGCCGCAAGAAACGCTTTTGAATATTTTCAATCCTTGTGATATGAATTTTTTTATAAGGTGACCAGATGTTATTACAGTACTCTAGTTTACTACGTTCAAGACTGTTAAAGATCATAAAAACGGTTTCAGTTTAGTTTAGTTTAGTGCAGCGCATAACAAAACCAAGAGATCTGTTTGCTAATTCTATACTTCGATCGATGTGGGGGATAAAACTAAGACGAATATCCACGATAACACCGAGGTCTCTAATACTATTAGTTTCAAACAATTCACTTCCATCTATATAATATTTGGACAGAAAAATATTATTTTTACGCGTAAACTTTATATGGACACATTTCTCAGTGTTAAGATACATTTTGTTCCTACTACACCATTCGGTCAATCTGTAAAGGTCCTCCTGCAGAAGATTCTGATCCCTCACGTCTTTAATAACACGCTTCAATTTTAAGTCATCTGCGAATAAACTCATGTTACTATTACAGAATCTATTCATGTTGCTGTTATATATATTAATGTCATTATCATACTCTGAAAAAATGCTCTATAAGTTTAAAATAACAATAATAATAGTCGTGTCGTAGTTCGTATCGTTTTAATCCGTGTCCATGTTCTTCCAGGTGGGGGACGTGTCGGCCCTGGTGCAGGACACGCTGTGTTCGCGGTCCGCGGCGGCCAGCTCCACCCGTGCCCGTCTGTGTGAGGCGGGGGACGCCCTACGAGCGGCCGCCGCGCGCCTCAAGGGGGCCGCCGCCGGACGAGACCAGCTGTTGCACGACTTGGCGCCGTCACTACACGCGCTGGCTCCCTACAACGAGGTACACGGACGGGTTATAGGCGCTACGAATACAATAAATAGAAATGGGACGTATGGTCGGTGATGCGTAGAGCCTACCTGTGCTCAGCACACGGATAGTGTAGGTGTGATGTCAAAATTTTGAATTCCACGTTCTTTTATAGTTTTGAACCGGTTTATTCTGCTTTTACTCTTCCCCGCACCTTCCTCACTTCATCTTGTGTACTGGTAGCAAAATCATATGTTGACAACGCAATGTCAAGTGAATAAGAATTTGTATAGTTTTTTCAAAATTTTTATTAATCGATAATTTTTTTCCATAATATTCTGTTAGTTATCTATTTAAATTATAATAAAATTTAATCCTAAAAGTTTTGTGTCTAACTCTATTTTTACTTTCACTCACACAAATGCAAAGCCCAGCTTGCATTGCAAAGCTGCAAAGTCTAACGGACTATAACGCCCTCTTACAGAAGATCGGCGTGAAGTAACCTTTAATGGCTGCTTTTCATCCAATGAGTGAGAGAGGAGGTTGGCCTTTCCCTATTCCCCCGTTTTCTTACCTTTTCCTTATTTACACCCCTCTCTATCCCTTAAAAAAACAAGTGTGGCAACGCATCCGCTACAAATATGTTGCGGTTATCCATGGGCGACGGTAATTACCTTCCATCTAGAAGGCCGTCTGTTTGTTTGTTAATTTTCACATTAAACAAAATAAACAGAGCAATCAAGGGAAGTTGTTGTTATGAATAAAGATGAGCAGCACTAGGGTAGGGTAGGGTTGTTTTGTGTGATACAATTTATACAATAATAAGCTGGAATAGAACAGGTAGTCGTTTGAGTTTTTAAAGATATAATGTCAAATTATCGTGCAACGAAGTAACATATTTGAAGATATGATAAAAAAAAATACACGGTTCTCTCCAAGTTGATTCAACCTGACTCACTGATCTCCTTTGTACACGAATTTTAAACTGTCCAGAGAACAACGATACTACTGTTAGTGATTTGATCAACATTTGAGAACTTATGATTTTTGACTTCATTCTTTTTGTGTACAAGATAAAATAGACAAAACTCGTTATGAATGTTATTAATGAGTGTCCGTGTGTAGGGTGACAACCCGTCGCAGGAGTTCCTGTGTGTGTGGCGCGCGGTGACCGAGCGGCTGGCGGCGGTCGGCGGGCTACAGGACGGGGAGCTGGACCGGGAGCGGGTCACGAGGAGCGCTGCCGACACACACGCGCTGAACACGGACCTGCCGCTACTACTGGACATGATGCTGCAGTAAGTAACAACACCGACACTAATAACAGCATTACATAAGAGGAACTGGCAGCATTTAATGTTTGTCATCTCTCGTTCCAGGTTACCAGGGAACACGGACACGAGCCGGCGACTGACGAGACAGGCAGCCGTCAACAGACCGCCCGCCAGGCACGGTAAGGACGAACACACGACGAACTAACAGACATGCTGACATACAGTACGGACGACACTAACACACTGTGACACAGGGACCGAGCAGCGGAGCGCGACCGGCGCGGGCGTGTGGAGGAGGGTGCGGCTCAAGCTGGAGAAACGGACGACGCCGCAGGAACAGGTACACACGGACACAGACACACACACACACACACGGACACGACACACACACAGACACATACACACACACGGACACGCACACACACACACTTTTTTTATTTATTTATTATAAGGGAAACATACATTATGGCCAACAAAGCTATTATAACAAGTTCTCTGAATTACGACAACAATCAAAACACTTAGAAGGAACGTGTTATAATGAGTTTTTGGAACGAGCAGAGAATAATATTCGTTGTAGCTCAAAACAGTTTTGGTCCTATATCAAAACTAAAAAAGGTCATAAGGCCACTTCAAGAACGTAGAGAACAAAGAGACCAAATGTTTCTTTACAAAATATTAAATAATTTAATTAATTCTCCATATCTCCTCAGTAATATTTTATTTAAATGTCATCGTTTTAACTCTCGCTCTCAGGATACTTTTTCAATACCTATTTGTAAGACTAATTATTTGAAAAATTCTTTTATTCTAAGATCTTGTAATGGTCATAATATAAAATACAACCACATTGATCTGTTTAAAAATAGTTTAAGTAAATTTTATAATCTTGTGAAAAATACTCATTAGTAATTAATTAATAGTTGTATTTTATGTAACACCAAAATTAGTCCACTTCCCTGTTAAAACAGTAGTGGAAACTTAACTGGCATAAGTGTTAAAATATGATTATAACAATTAAGTGTAATATACGATAAGCTGTATGTTTCCCTAGTAATAAATATATAAATATCAACTGCCTGACTAATATCTTTGTTTTTAAATTCGTGTTGCCGGTTAACTTTTGCTCATTCAAAATTAATTTTATCATAATCAGCGCTGTGAAAGCGACGTACGTAAATTTCGCTCAGTGGTATTCATATCAATTTCAATACAAAGGGTAGGGTCCACACGAGATATGTTACAATTTAGATTGGAAAATACTAAGTCTAAGAGCCTGTTATTTAAGTTAGGAATGTAATTTAATTGTTGTAAATTGTAATCCAGTAAAATTCATAAAAACAAATATTTTATGTACAAGAAGACATTCCGCGGGATTTAAAATACATATAAATTGAATTATTGTTATTTAATGACCAAACAGCATCTCGTATATAAACCGCCTGTAATAATTACATCATCTTGTGAATTTTCTATAATCAAATCAGTTATAAAATCAAAAAAATTAAGCTGTGAATCCATTTGAGAATTATTCTGTGGGAAGTAATAATAAAAAAACATGCAGATTTTTCCTAATAATACCGCTTTTAGTTATTATTTTTATATAAGTGACTTCAGCACTAGGAAGATTAGGCAACTGAACATTTCTCACATCATTTCTTTGTCAATTCTAACTGCTCGTGATCACGGTCCTTACGATAAACATTATATCGAGCATCAAATAATTCACTGACAAAGATTCCAGATAAAGCAAAGTTTCTGTTAGGCAAATAATGTCATAATCGCAATTAAGCACGTTTTTATAAAATTAATTAGTTTTAGTCCGTAAACCTCGGACGTTTTGATAAAAAATATTAAGAACATGTTGAATACTTAAAACAATAATAATAATTGTATATGTTACATATCTGCAATAAAAATTCCTTCATAGTTTCTATTTCTAATAAATAAATGTTTCCCGCAATGAACGCTGCTCAGATTAAAACTAATAAAATCATAAAAGAATATACAACCGGAACAATAAAATCCTATATCGGAAGCTCTTATAGTTTTTAATTTTCGAAGCGATGACAGGAAATCGTCTTTTTTGTAACGAGCTTGCATTTTTATAATAATTGGTTTAGGCCTGATGTCATTGGAATCATTGTTAGTCGCTACTCTTGTGACAAAGTGTATGTCAGTAAGCGGCTCCAAAGCACTTATCGGCGAGCACTTTTATTAACTGTACAAGGTTTTCGCCTTTCTTTTGGGGAACTCCACTAATTTGGATATTTGAACGTCGAACCCATTGTTCATTCTTGTAATGGCTATCTTTTAAATCTTTCATAGAATTCTCTAGCTCATTTAACTCCCAACTCGATGTTATGTATTTTTGTAACTTCCTTGTTAAAATTATAAACTTGGTCGATGACCATATCAATTGATGATTCAACGAGCTTAATTTTTTTGTCCGTTTGTTTACAGTATCAGTAACTTTTTTTAAACTCATTGGTTATAAAACTTTTAAATGATTCAATAGATGAATTTAAATGAGTGAAACGTTCATCAATGTGTTCTATTATAGATTAAGTATTCAAGTTCAAATAGGGCTGTGCAAGATCTAAATGGGTTTCGTTGGTGACTTTAGGTGTAATGGGACTTATATTATTATTTTTTTTTTGGTTTGTTTACAACTTGGTCCTTTCCATTTAGCTTTATTCATTGGTAGAATCTTTTTAAAGTCCGCAAGCGAAATTCCCACACAGCCATGATGATATATATTTAAGCAAGCAGTACATTTAATAGATTCTTCAACTTTCAATAAGCATGAGCAATGATTACACTCCATTCTATTCGCTTCTAAATAAATGTAGGTAAACTTCAATGAGTTAACACAACGTATTCAATTTACCTTGCTCTTCGATAAAACCTCGCGCCCAAGCGCCGCGTATATCCACTTCAATGTAATTACTGTGATTGTTTTAGTATTTTAAATATTTTTATTACACTGTGTCTTTGTACACTATTAAAAACAATCACTTATATACTTTAATACTTACAACAACAACAACATGAAATAAAAAAGTCACTTCCAACAACACTTTTATAAGGAATTAGGGATTATTTTATATAGCACAAACGATATAGCACCGTACGTGACTGCTTCGTGATTGTACACGCGCACACACACACACACACACACACACACACACACACACACACACACACACACACACGCACACACGCACACACGCACACACGCACACACACACACACGCACACACACACACACACACACACACACACACACACACACACACGCACACACACACACACGCACACACACGCGCACACACACACACACACCACCAGGGGAGTGTATGACGTGAGCTGACCCGAGGTGTGTCGCAGGTGGAGTACATCATATCGGAAGCGACCAGCGCGGACAACCTCTGCCTCATGTACGAGGGCTGGATGGCGTGGGTGTGAGTCCCGGGCGGTGCTCCGCCCCCGCCCCGCGCCGCCCCCGCCGTGTGCGGACGGGCGCTCCCGTGCCGCTCGGCCCGCGGGCGCCCTCCCGCGAGCCCCACGAGCCGGACCGCAGCCCCCGGGCTCGGCCCCGACGACGACGTCAAGTACGGAAGACCCCCCGGGGACTCTCCGTATCACGATTCGATGTTAGATTTAAAGTATCGCGACTCAAACGACGACTCGCTCACAAGACGACCAGCGCCGGCCCCTCCGGACCGGGGTCATCGACATAGTAATATATAATGTACGTCAGCTCATGTACCGAGTATGTTGTAAGGTTACCGTGTCTGGACCCGAGCTTGTTTTCTCCGCGCGTACATCGACCTCCCCGGCTACCTCCAGCCACCGGTCATTCATTTATCGCCGTACGAATGTATTTTATAAAAAAAAGTAAACTTTCTCTGCACGATACAATACTGAAATGTCTGTCCTAGACTAGCGGCGAAAATATTATGTGTAGTATTATAAAGGTTCGATTAAAAAAGTTGCAGTTGAATAAACAAGAGAAAGAAAATTCAGAGCGTGACCTAACGCGCCTTTAAAGAGAACTGGACGTGTTACAGTGTGACGTCACCCGACTCACGGACCACCTCCTGGTCACGCGACTATACTTTCCTTAACTTTCAAACTCAACTCCTGCTACATGAAGGATTATTTCGTTCAAAACTAAAAACTCGCCAAAAATATCACAAATATGTTTTAGTTCTTAACGTAACTATTTGGCCTTTTTAAATTTATCAATCCGAGTAACGATCGCCCCGGAGACGTGTTCGGTAAAGTCTAGGGAAAAATACGAATGAGTAAGGAAACAAGCTTACATACTTTAATATATATGCATTTAGTGTATGAGTGTGTGTGTGTGTGTGTGTGTGTGAGAGACGGCTAACGACACGTGACTCGTTACACGGACGGTCGAGGCGGAGGGGCCTTCCACGACACTAACACTGCTTTGAATCACCTATTATATTGCCTTCTTTATAATAGAACTATTAAACAGGTGCCCTAGTCAACTGTCCAGTGTATGACCTTCCTCATTCCTCGTCAGCGTCTACCGCGTGGAATGCTCCGCCGTGTGTGTGTGTGTATGTGTGTTTGTTTGTCGCTTCATATTAATACATATAATAAATGGTGTCAGTAAAACGGGTTTTTCATTTCGTCCTGGCTGCCTCTATTATTATATAATACCTATATACTATGTAGAAGACCCGGCGAACTTCGTATCGCCCTATAATCAAGAAATATCTGTTACGTTTTTTTATTTATATTTTTGGAGTTTATCTATTGAAGCCATAAATATCCGTGTTTTGAAGTGCAACAAAATGATTGACATTTTAGTTAGTTGTCAAATCTAATGTAAAAAAAAAAGTTTGTATAAACAACTACTAATAAATTAAAAATTAATCAAAAAAACATCGTTCAGCGGACAAAATTGTGAATCTAAACCATTCCCAGATCCCCTTGAACACACACAAAAAATATCTTCAAAATCGGTCCAGTCGTTTGAGAGAAGTTCAGTGACATCCACACTCACAGAAGAATTATACATATATGGGGGATTCTAGCGTCACGGGTGGGACACTTGTACCTCGATTTTCAGCGTTTGTAGCTTATTTACGCTAATTGTATCAATGATATCTAATTGGTTTATATAGAATATAATAAATTTATCCACGTACTTTTATAAGTACAATAAAGACGGGAATAACACCAGATAAAATTTAATAAAAAAGACAGTAAATGTTTGTCACGGGTGGGACAAAGTTGTGATATTCTTGTTACACATGCATCATATTTAATAAAACTCTGCTAGTTGATAAAACTTTTTAATACAGACTATAATATTTCTTTGAGACAATAAACTAAACTTCACATTTGAATAGAAAATAATGTTCTATTATTTACACATATATTTACAAAAAATAAATAAAGTGTGTCACGGGTGGGACACGTACGATTTACTTGGTACAAGGACTCACTTATAAGTTTTTATTTCTTGATATGGATGCTAGTTTCATCATGGGTACCTTGGGTAAACATTTTAAACACTCAGGTATACATTTTAAACACTCAGTTTGACAGCTTTGCATCTTTTCAGATTCAAATCAGCATTAGATTCATTAATCAAGTTTGCAACTTTATAATAAAAAATAAAAAAAATTAATATACTAATATTTTTAAAGTATCGTGCAATTTTAAGTATTTCGTATCGATATACATAATAATTAAAAAAAAAGAAAAACTAAAAAATTACATCAAGGTTTACTTTCCCGTAGAATCCCCCATATATAAAGATATATATCTCATTAATGGATCTGGGTCACAAATGAAACCAACGGTATTTTTATACATTTAATAATAAATCTTAAGCTATCGTCTGACGCAGTAGAGATGAATTGAAGTCAATTTTATATATTTTCTATTTCCTAGTTTAAATAATTTTTTTTTATTTTAAATAATAAAAGTACATATATAACAATTCACATTTTTTTAATAATATATTTCCGATTCAAATGTTTCAATCAATTTGTAACGAGTGACCCATATCATACACATAAAGCTATTTACATTCAACATTCTATAGAACCAACAGCCACATGTAGCTGAAGACTCATTCAGTCGCGACTCATCCAAATTTTGAAATCGAATATTACTTTGAATACTATGTTTATAATGTTTTAATAAATGAACGTGTCGCAGAAACAGCTTGTTATTGTCTTTAAGTTCCCTAAGCCTCCCCTGCATCATAAGCCGCGTGATTCAAACAAGAGACTAAAGTGCTTGTGATTCATGTCCGCTCGTCGAGCCTCCTCCGCAGCGTGAGCAGCTCGTCCAGCTGCTGCTTGTAGAGCTGCGTGACGTCATGCAGGTCGAGGCGCAGCTCGTGCAGCTGCTCCTCCTTCTCGCCGTACATCTGCAGCAGCTCGTCGTGGTCGGCCAGGCGGGTCCTGAGCGCGGCCAGCTCGCCGGCCAGCGCGGCCCGCTCGGCGGCCAGGCGCGCCAGTTGGTCGTCCCGCCCGCGCCGGGAGCCCCGCTCGCGCGTCATCTGACTCAGCGCCTGCTCCACGGCCAGCGCGCTCACGCCCGCCTCCTCCTGGAACACGACACACGAACATCAACAAAGGCTCGGGGTTCATAAGAGATGGAGGGATCGTGTACCGAGTATTATGATCACCTTTAAGTACATTGACATCCCACAGCACACAATACAGATACTAAAGCTGTATGAACTTATACTTCCTGCAGACCAGAGCATCAACACTGGTGAAACGTTACCACCTCCCCCCTCCCCTCTCCCCCTCACTTTTATTCAAACAGTGTGAAATCTAGTAATAAATAAAATTAATTCAAGTGGAAGGTTACTACAAATTTGATTGATTTTTTGTTTAATTCTGTTTTGATAAGCAAAGAGTTCATAATCTTGCGGAGGATTGACATGAAGTATGAACAAGGGAAGTGTTTCTTGAGACATTTATATTTATGTGTATAGTAAATTTCTTCTTAATTAAACGGTTTTATTTAGCTCACCCCGTTTGTTTTATTCTTGGGTCAAATTTAATAATTCAAATTTCACCCTCTTCCTGTCAACCGATTAATCTGAAATTTTGTATACACTTTGGATTTTGGTAACAATACAATTATGTTTATTCATTTTCATTATAAAGGGCAATATCCATTTTTGGCCTAGCGTGAACAAGCTGCTATCAAAAAACCTATTTTAGGAAATTTTTTTTTTTTTTTTAGCTAGCCATTCTATTGTTATTTGAGTGTACATTTGTATTTTATTGAAAAAATATTTTTAAAGTATCTTCATAGTTTTGCTTTATTGATCCACGTTTTGTGTTACCAGCAAGATCAATTAACGATTGCGACAAATCGAATCATCTCGCAGTACTTAATACAACTATAAGTATTTAATACAAAAAAAATATATATATTTTTAATAAGTTTCGTCATTTAAAACGTTTTATAAACTGAAATATGAAGAGTGTTAAACGTAATCATATCTGTTTTCGATCGATTTTTTAATGATTTTTTTTATATTGCAACACTAATAAAACAAAAAAATACAAATTGCCATTGATATGTCACAGACTGATTGTTTACATTCGCTTTGTTTACCTACATTGAGTGTTGATTAATTATGGATTTTCTTTCAACGATTGTTTATTCATTACGGGCTCCGACCTATCTTTTTCCAATGACCCTGCACATCTGCGGACCCCGAAGTTCGCTCAAACGATGACCCTGGCTTTTGTATTATGGACTCTGATCAAGGCATAAACGATGACCAACCCTCACGTAATATGGACCCCGAAACTAGCTCCATCGCTAACCACGGCTTTAATATGGACATTGAACAAAACCAAAGCGTGTCTCATGATAGTCTGCACACAGAAGAAGTGACTTCTTACCAATCCGTATCTCTGAGATGCATAAACTGTGGAACTGATTTGATAGAGCGAAGGCGACATAGTCTAGATCTTAATCAGGTTCAGTCTATTATAAGACAGTGGATAGCTCCTCGACGAGTAAGTGTCAATTCAATTAATTATTTAAATTACTCGTTTTTCAATAGATATGTATTGTATATGCTATTCCTATAATCCAAAATGAGGTTTTATTGTTTTATATAATTATAATCCTTACATACTGTTGTATTATAATAAATGAAAAGATGTTTACTCCTAACACATTAGCTGACTTTGTTATCGAAAATAATTTAAATAGAAGGCGGGCAGATTTTCAACCTATAAATGTAAACATGGACAGTTTCATATTTCCAAGAATAGAATATAATGATCATATATTAATTGCATGTGGAACATATCAACTAAAACAAGCTTGTTCGTATTATGGGCAGCACATAAGAGGCGATGGTTCCTATACTATAGAATTATGAAGAAATATAGCCAGCGACCTATTGGTTGACTACCCAATTCCTTTGGCCAACTGCAGATTATTACGTGAAAAAATACAAAGCAGGCTTGTAAGTCGAAAAATATATTTTATGTATATATTTTATGAAAATAATCACAATGGTAAGGAAGCTATAAAAGAATATTATTGTAATTGTATGGTTGGTCCAAGGACAGTGGGTTGTTGCGCTCATATAATGACTATTTTATGGTTTTTAAGTTGGGCGAGGTATCAGGAACACATTTCACCACCTGTCCAATTTCTTGAACACATATTAATAACATATGATGTCTCAGAATAAAAATAAATCATAAAAAATGTTGTTTTATTTCACTTTAACCTGTTTTTCCTCTCATGACAAACATCTCTTTTTAAACATTTTGATACAAAATTAAGTTCATATTCTCATTATTACTAGTTAGTGCATTTAAACTAATTACAAAAAATTTATGTTTTATCAATCCCATCAATATGGGTATCAAATGAAAGGGCTCAACAAGCAGAAAAAAATATACTATAAAAAATTGAAATCCAAGATGGCGGCCGCTACAAAATGGTGGATAACGTAGGTTTTATCAATCCCATCAACATGGGTATCAAATGAAAGGTCTCAACAAGTAGAATACAATTTACTATGCTAAATTGAAATGTAAGATGGCCGCCGCTACTAAATGGCTGATAACAATTTTAGGAGGAGTTGGACTGCAATAAACTAACGGGCAAGAAACCTTGCAATAATGAAGCACAAATGAATTAAACAGAATGCGAGATAAAAACTAAAAACTAGAAAATAAAAATAGGCAAAAAAACTTTAAGTTAAACGGTTTTACGTGAAACATACATTGCAATGTTTAAGATAAATGTACTAAAAACCAAAAATAATAAAATAGGTAGTCGTGGGAATTATAAATATATGAAAAATGAAAATGAAAAATACTTTATGACCAGCAATAACTCAATGTTAACAGGGAACACAATTTTAAACAACAATATTTTGCTGAAGTCATCGCGCGATTTCCAGGAGCGACCACACTAAGCGAGCTTGTGTCGTGGATGAGTTATTAACGATTAACTATAACAAGTTTCACCTACGGCAGATGGCGTGTTCTTTATAAACATGTTACAAATGGCTCAAAAGTATTAAATCTTAAATATAGAAAGAAAAGATACAAAAATAAGTAAATAAAATGGAATAACATAAATATATAGTAATTATTATATATATACAACATGTAACGTAATTAACGCACACCCTCAAACACCCCAATTAGAATATATTAATATAAACGCAATGCATACACCAAATATTATTTATATGTGCGTTTGCATTTTTTATTTGTGAAATTAGTTATCCCAATTTCGTGCAAATAATATGGTCAGCTATTCACCAACACTCCGCTGCACACGCACACACAGACAGACACAATGTACTCGCCGCGTCCGCGCCCCTCTCTCCGAGTGCCGTCCGACAATAGTAAGAAGTAAGTAATAATAAGTACACGAAATAACATATGATTTATGATTTTTCTTTCCATCACACTTTTCAAGCTTTAGACATTGTTGACATTGAACTTTCTTTTTAATGTGAAGCCAATATTTTATAATTTAATTAAATTTGTAAATAAGAATTATTAAACAGCTGCTAACGCGTGATTTGATTAGACACCACAATACTTACGACAAAGTTAATCACAGTCGGCGTGTTTAAATGGTGTGAATCAAAATATTTACAATAATTTAAAGATCATAAACAAACTTACAGTTTAATTTGCACTCGCACAACGTTGTCGTTTTAAAACGTTTTCAAAATGTCCATCGCCTTGTGCACTTAAATGACCGTTTTCGCAATTGTGGTTTTATTTTAGATAATACTGCAGTGTCACTTTTCACTTTTACAAAAGGCAGTTATTATCTTATTTTTTAGTTCCTCGGCACTTGTTATCTCTGTTATAAACTAGCAATTTAATTCGCCCCCACAAAAAAAAGTCGAGTGGCGTCAAATCAGCTGATCTAGGAGGTCAATGGACACGTGCGTAGGTATTTGATATGTGCCGGCTGTCGCTGTGCGTGCGTAGATATTTGTAAAAAACTATTTTAGCCTTGAAACACGTATCAGTTTTCTTTAATTGAATGATTACTAATTTAATATTTCATTTTAAAAATCTTAATACTCTGACTTACGATCCATTTTCGTTCCAATGCAGTGTTTAGATAACTGTGTGTAGGATGACTGTAATTTACTTAGTTCTATCTAAATTTGAGAAAAAAATGACCTACATAAAAAACTATAAAAATCGATGCAGATTCCGATTTTGAACAAACTACTTTCAGGGTGTACGTTAATTATGTTACACGTTGTATATACTGACATACACATATATATACATATACAGACAAACATACATACACATATATACTAATATTATAAAGCTGAAGAGTTTGTTTGTTTGTTTGTTTGAAAGCGCTAATCTCCGAAACTACTGGTTCGAATTGAATAATTCTTTTTGTGTTGGATAGTCCAGTTATCGAGGAAGGCTGTAGGCTATATAACATCACGCTACGACCAATAGGAGCAAAGATATAGTGGTAAATGTGTAAAAAACGGGAGAAATTATTTCATCTTTGCAGCCTTCCGTTGCGTGCGCCGTGAAAACGGTTCAAGATACAGAAAAATATGAACTAAAGAATAATACCTCTTTTAATGATCTAAAAAACAGTTCGCGACAGTATATGTCTATCTTTTAAGATGAACTCACAAAAACCGTTTTTATGGTACCTAATTTGGTCGAAATAATTTGTTTAAGTTGTATCAACATAATAATATTAATCTTTATTCAAATAAACAAATAAATATGTTGTTGGTTAAGAGTACTTCATTGTGAATTAAAAAAAAAACATAGGTTTTATCCTGAAAATCCTACTGGAACTCGACCATTCCGAAAACCCCGCAAGAACGGGAGCTATGTGGGAAGAACCAAAAATCTGCCGTAAGTCACTATTCCACGCGGACGAAGTCGCGGCAAAAGCTAGGCAAATTATTTCGACCAAATTAGGGACTGTTTTTTAGATCATTAAAAGAGCTATTATTCTTTAATACATATTTTTTGTGTATCTTGAACCGTTTTCACGGCGCACGCAACGGAAGGCTTCAAAGATGAAATAATTTCTTCCGTTTTTTACACATTTATCACTATATCTTTGCTCCTATTGGTCGTAGCGTGATGTTATATAGCGCACAGCCTTCCCCGATAACTGGACTATCCAAAACAAAAAGAATTATTCAATTCGTACCAGTAGTTTCGGGGATTAGCGCTTTCAAACAAACAAACAAACTCTTCCGCTTTATAATATTAGTATAGATAAGCTAGTTACTTTATTATATACAAAGTGGCAAAAAAGGGTTTAAACGTCGTGCAAAAGATGAATTAACGGTTGAGACTGGTACTTTAAAAATACGACGCTTCAACATATTAGAATATTCATTAGATTTGACAATAGCTTTATGAACAGACAGTTATTTTTTGGATAAACAATTTACGAACACTGAGCACTTCACTTTCTTTATAAACGAGATCGGTTGGATATCTATACGGCCTCCGCAAAAGTACTCTTAGGACGGAACGTTGGGCCCTTTCTAAAATTAGCATGGAGGTTTTAGAAGCGCCACCCCAACAGCTGATACAGTAACTCAAAATTGATCGACATAGGGCGTAGTATATCGTTCGTAGGGTTTCTAAACTAGCTACATCTCGCAAATATCTTACTATACAGGGTGACTGGTGAATTACTATCGATACTTGAGGACGTGATATTTGACGATCATATACGACAAAATAAAAATTAATATAACATAAATATTAATAAACTTCTAAGTAAAGTTAACCAAAAGTTATGTAATTAATTACGCATCGTGTGAACACCCTACAGATTAGGTATACACACACTCGCGCGCGGTGACGTGGTGTTGTATCAGCACGCCGCCGCACGCGTCCACACTTGGAACACTTGGAACGTGTCCACAATTTATTTATACGGAAATTTGGTCAAAAATTAAGTACCTATTTTTTTTACATAATTCGAATGAGAATCATGTACCGAGTATTCTCCTTAAATATTGATAGTAATTCACCAGTCACCCTGTATATATATATAAATTTATATAAGTTTACGAACTCTCCCCGCAACCGCTTCGATGTGAGCTTTGAAATTCAATTGTTGATCCAAAATAATACCTAAATATTTAATACTATTACTTCTATCTATTTTTTGACATATATTAAAGTTATTTCCGCAGGAATGTATATATACACTAGATAATGTTGGTGGAGGACTATTCGTTAGAGTTTTATGGAAACAGACAAATTTGGTTTTTGAAGCATTCAGTGTAAGAAGATTGTTCTTTAACCATGTATTAATTTTAGACATACCCAATTCTACATTCAATAGAGCTTCAGTCCAGTTAGTGCCATCAAATATAATTGTCGTATCGTCTGCGTAACAAATTATATCCGCGTGATTCAGTTGGAGGTCTTCACTTTTCAATTGTATACAAACGTTGATTAAAATGTTCGTTTTGTAATGTTACACTATAATTAGGCAGTTGTAATTTCCATGAGCAAGAAAATAGTAAGTAATTTCCTCACCGTCTGCGGGCCAACTGCCTAAAGACGAATTAAACGATTCTTCTATCGCACATTAAGTCGATAATTTGTAGACAATTGACGTGCCCCACGCTTTTATTTTAGTCTAGTCTGCATATGTTTATAATTCCCACAACTGTATCTATTTTTTTATTTTTTGGTTTTTAGTACATTTGTCTTAAAAATTGCAATGTATGTTTCACGTAAAACCGTTTAACTTAAAAAGTTTTTTATCTATTTTTTTAATACTCAATATAAACAGTCCCCCAATTTTCTCTTAATACCCACATCGTGGTGCCTCTCCAAGCCCGGTCAATGTACTATATTATTAGTAATATATAACTCACGGTCCAGAAGGAGGTTGAGCCGATGTCGGAGGTGACGGAGCGCGCCGGAGACACGTCTCCGCGGCTCGACACTTGCTCCTGTAAATGAAACACGTCTTTATTAAACATAATCTTTGACCGCGACCACTCAGCAAACAACCTCAGAACCAGATGTATAGAATGTTTTAAAACAACGATGTCATCATTCCACCAGTAGTCTCCCCGTACCTGTAGTATCACGTTCCTCCTCCTCTCCGTGTCGAGGGCCTCCCTCTCCTCGGCCAGCGCGTGTTCCGTCTCGCTCACTCTCGCCCTCAGTTCCTCTATCTGCCTCTCACTCTCTGCCCGGATCTGTTCCAGCTCCCTCGTTTTTCTGTTCAGACAGTATTATATGTATGTAGGAGAGTAAATGTTAAAGTACAAACGATCGGAATGTACGGGCAGGTTCTGAAGAGTTTAACATATCGCTCAGCCAAAAGAATATTGACGTAATTACGTTTTTGCAATTTTTCAGGAGAGCATTTTAAAAGTTTGACATTTCCAATAATACTATTGATATATTTTAATAGCTATGTTATGTTACTTTAGCATCAATAACATTATGTAAAAAGATTGCGAGAAAAGATAAGTATTAGAAAATACCAAATAAAACAAACCGGGTGTACATTTGACATTTTAGAAACGAAATAAAACAATTATGACATGACACTAGGTTTGGATATGGGAATAAATCATGAATTTAAACAACATTATACTCAATTTGTTTTGTTTCAATTAATGAGTCTTAATTTTATAATTTTTTTATTGTAATAAAAATAAGTTTTATAGAAAATCTTAATGAGTTTAAAAACACAAATAAACTATTTCTAAAAGAATCTAAGTAACTAAATGTAATATTGAAAATAAAGTAGATACCTGGGTAGTAGGCGAGTGCAGATGCCTTTAAAAATAATGTAAAGTGAAAATAAATTATAGTAGAATGAATCTCATTACAAAAGGAGGGGAATATTATAAAAGTAAAAGGAAAAATAATTTACGGGCGATCTGAGGTCGGGAAGGTTAATAGTTGCGTCCTCTGGAAGTTCTCCAGATAGTCCCTCTTTTAGGTAATTTACAGAAAATTTACATTAAGCTGCTAAAACTAAATAAATTGAAAGAGCATTTTCCAAACGATAACGAGTGTCATTTCATTAAAAGGGACATGATTGTTTTAACCAAAAATGGTACTGCAGGTAAGAAACTTATATATTTTTTTCATCATCTGAAAATAGAGATTTCAAAAAATAGAAAACATACCAAATTATTGAAAAAAACTGATATTTTGACGGGTGATTTTCCGATTGAAAATGAGGCTGATTTTGCAATATTTATTCAAAATAAGCTGAAAAAATAAAGATTTCTAATCAATTAAATTACAGTGTATTTGGGACATCAAAAGGTAAGTTTTGACCAAATTTCGTGACAAAATATTGTTTTTTGTAGGAGATAAAAATAAAAAACCAAAGACTTGGTTTTTCGAATTTTTCACATAAAATTTGAGGTTATGTGAAATAATTGTTAGTACAAAAGTTTTAGATCTTTTTATTACCTAAAACTTTGCCATATAACACTTTTCCGTAGGACTTTTAGTTTTGCCGGAAATCGAGAAAACCCATTTTTACCCTTAAATACCCATCCCCATACCCTTCCCGACCTCAGATCGCCGTAAGTTATTTTTCTTTTAATTTTTATAATATTCCCCTCCTTTTCAAATGAGTTTCATTCTACTATAATTTAATTGAGTTTTAAAAGCTATCGGCACTGGTCTATAGTGTTTAAAGTAATAATGAGATTAAGAGAAATTACAGTCAAAGGCATCTTTAACCGGGTACCATCAGGTACTTGTACCTACTTATATAAGAGTAGAATAATCTTTAAGGAGCATATTTATTATAAACTGGTAGGAATATAAAATAATGTCACAATGATTCATTAATCTAACAATTTTGTTATAAAAATTTGTGTTAATCGTTCACCAGTCTTAATAGTATCTATCAAAATCTGCACGAATGACAAATACGTCGATGTTTCCCCGGAATCGTACGTAAAATAGGCCAAAACCATAGCGACACTGACTCTCTCTGTCTGAAACGAATGGAATAACAATTCTGTCGTTTTTACCACCGATAAAACGTGCAAAATATAAAGTTATGGCATCTAAAACTCATTTTCGACTTTTTGGTAGTTGTGTCATTATTCTTTTGGATGAGCGATATGTACAATTGTGATGGTTTAAAGAAATTACATCAAGATTAAGGCACGGTCATGTATAAATCCTAGTCCGGTCCCACCTGTCCAGCTCGTGTGTCAGCTCGTGTATCCTGCCCCTCGCCGCCTGTAGTTCGTGCTCCATCTCCCTGCGCCTCTCCTCCCCCCTCTCCCCGCGGCTCCTCTCCCCCGCCAGTGTCTCCGCCAGAGCGCTGTTCTCTTCTCTCAGAAGTCTCTCCCTCTCCTTGGCCTTGGCGGCGATCGTCTCTGCTTCAGCTGGAAACGAAATGTTCATATGATATACACAACTTTCAGAACTTTTTGAGATCTTTAATGATCACAACGGTTTGTGTTTGTGTGTGTGTGTGTGTGTGTGTGTTGTGTGTGTGTGTGTGTGTGTGTGTGTGTGTGTGTGTGTGTGTGTGTGTGTGTGTGTGTGTGTGTGTGTGTGTGTGTGTGTGTGTGTGTGTGTGTGTGTGTGTGTGTGTGTGTGTGTGTGTGTGTGTGTGTGTGTGTGTGTGTGTGTGTGTGTGTGTGTGTGTGTGTGTGTGTGTGTGTGTGTGTGTGTGTGTGTGTGTGTGTACCGAGCCTGGCGTCGAGCGCGGCCCGGTACAGTCGTTGTTCCTGTTCGCGGGCGAGCGCGGCTCTCTGCAGCGCGGCCAGCTGCTGTAGGAGCGCCGTGTCGTGGTCGTCCAGCGCCTCGCCGACCGCGCGAGCCTCCGCCGCCGCCCGCACCTCGCGCCGCAGAGCCTCCTCGCGAGCCGCCCAGCGCTGCTCCTCTGTCACACGACCATATTATACATACCGTGACTTATCAAACTCTGTCCAGAGACGTCATGTTAATATTTGGCAATAACCACCCTACCCGCCCTCCTCTCAGTCCGCAGCAGCCTCATCTCCTCTGTCAGTCTGTCCGCGTGTTCCCTCGCGCGCCTCTCCTCCTCCCTGGCCCGCTGCAGCTCCCCCCTGAGCCGCTCGACCTCCGCCCCGCCCCGCTGCAGGTCGGTCAGCTCCCTCCTGGCCGCCTCCAGGGACGCGCGGCACGTGGCCAGCCTCTGAGTCGTGTCATCCAGCGAGCTCTTTGTCTATCAATTATGACCCCAAAACAAGTAACAAATTATAGCTTTCATAGAAATACCAATTACGAGTCAAATTATACCTAAAAAACATTGAATGTATGAGCTTTAGCTGATTTAATTAAATAAAGAAGAATATAAAAAAGGAACTGATTCAAGTATAACTTTTAAGATGTCTACAATAGACATACATGTACTACAGAAAAATGTTCACTATAGTAACCTGATAATTTTCAGACTTTACTATTGAATATGATATTTTTGAAGGTTTTATAAAGAGGTTATTCCAAATATTTTAACCGTATTAAGCCATGTATGACGTTATAAAAATAAAGGAAATCTTTAGAAAACTCGAGCTACAACACACAATCATGACATATGTATTTGCAGTTACATCTGCCCGCTTGTAGTCAACAAGTATGGCAACAGGAAGTTAAGAGAGGCGATGTACCTTTCGTAGAATCTTTGACAGTGAGGGTTGTTGACAGAAATTAAGAAAATGAATGCAATTAACAAAAGGGACCGCAAACACCAGATACAAGTCCTGGCCTTGACGGTTTTCATTAGAATAATACTTGGAGTAGCAATAGCTATGAATTGTTAAGAGCACTTTACAGTACAAATTTCATCAGTCACGCCTATACATTTAATAAGTTCTTCGTATAAATAAAGAATATTTTTGTTATTTAAATCATGTGATACATATTTGATATTATTATTCAACAATAAAGTTTATTGTTCATATTTCGCATCGTGTAAAATTTTTATAGTCCTTTTTCAGTCAGCTAATATGACTTAGCATATCGTCATAGACAAAAACATGACTGAGAAATAAATAAGAAGATTGACTCTCAGCTAAAATTTTTCAAATATATGACGAAGTGTTGGAAAACATTAATGAACAGTACCGGGACACATAACGAGTCTTGTTTTTAATAAACATGAGAATGTTTGTTCAATGACGTTACTGGACTTAATAATACCAACACTTAGAAAACAAGAAGAGTCGGAAAAATTTTGTAAAATTATTCTATAGTAAAATGACGCAACACACAGGATATAACAGGCGTATAAATTAATTACTGTTGTAGATATTTAACATAACTATGATAATACTTATCACTGATTACATTTCTTAGTAACGGGTGTGAAACATATTTGATATAGAGTCAAAAGTGATACGTTATAATGTAAATACTGTTCGATTAAAAATTAAGATATTACATCAGGAATAGCTTCAATATAAACTCATTAAAATTAACAATATAATGTTGTACTAAAACGAGAAATCCATTATTACAGAGCTGATAAGGCCGTCGAGCTAACAGCGATAATACTTCGGACATCGAACATAGTTCGTTATTCATGTAGTATTCAGATCAAAACACGTCTGGGAAGTCATTATAATAGTCACCAAGCACTCATTCCCGCCCCGTGTGATGTTAGTCAAGTCAAGTCTGTTGGGGTCCTACCTCAGCCAGCTCGGCCTCCAGAGTCTTGTTGCCGGCCGTGAGTCTGTACACGGCCTCTATCTGGTTCACCTCCAGCTCCTCCTTGGCTGACAGACATCTCTTCATCCGCTCCAGCTCACTCGTCTGATCAGCTATCTTGTCTCTGGAACGACGTACACAAAATATCTTTACAACATTTCGTATAAGTAATACTGAAAGTTTTGGTCATAGAGGAATATAACCATGAAGTAGACAATTACGTGTATGAATGTTCTTCTTCTTCCTGGTAATTTCCTAGCTTTTTAGCCAAGGTGCTAGCTAGGTGCTGCTAGCTTTTTAGCCAAGCTGCCTTACATGTTGTGAATAGTTTTGGCTAATTGTTTTTACGACCGGCCCCCTGCCTGACATCAACCCTCTTTGGGAATGCATTAATCAGTGATGTCTAAATACTCTTAGAAAGTACATATGACTCGAAAAAATCACATTGGTCCTTGCTAGGGCCAGGATCGAACCCGTCCTTCGTGCATCAGAGACGGGCCTTTTAACCACTAGGCCACCACTGACTTACGTGTATGAATGTTATAAGTACTAAAGTAAATTCTACCTCAGTCCCTTGATGACCTGTTCGTTGTCCTTTTCCTTGGCCCGTAGTTTCTTGATGATGTTAGTGTGTTGCAGCTCGTGCCTGGCCAGCTTCTCCCCCTCCTCCTGTAGTTGGCAGATCATCTCGTCTTTTTCCTTTATAGTGTTCTCCAGTTCCGACGAGTTCTTGCGCGTCGTGTCCGATTTCAAGGTGTCTAACTGCTTCCTCAATTGGTCCTAGTCGTGGAATAAATGAATATCGATAATAAACGCAAAATAATTTTCATTCAATAATACGCAACAACAAAAAAATGTGTTTCTTGAAATAGTTTAACAAAATTTCGGCAGTCAGTGTTAAACCAATACTATTTATTTATTTATAAGGACAACTTACAAAAACATACACTATTTATAGGTTTTAAAATAAAGGTAATAACATTTTTAGTTAAATGTTGTTTCAATCAAAAGTTATCACGGCATGGAAAAGGATAGTATTTTCTATTAACTAACACAACTTTTTTTTCTACTTCTATTATACAAAAGGGGAAACAAAAAATACTACCAATAATAATACAATATAAAATGTAAATTACAAAAGACAATAACAAATTACCAAATTACTACACAATAAAAAAATTAAAAATAAATAAAATGAAACTTTTTTTTAGATAACAAAAATTATATAGCAAACAACAAACAAACAACTGTAATACAGAACGTAAACGAAACAATATAAACATAATCGATGTTGAAGGACTGGAATGTGATCATTATTTTATTATTTTCAACTTACAATTAATAATTTCAAATACTGGGGGAATAAAACTAGCTATAACTTTGCTTTTAAATTTTGGCAGACTGTCTGAAAAAATGTCGATATCAACTTCTTGATTTTTTATAAAATAATACTAATATTTTGAAAGAATGATTGTCTTAAATGTCTCCTAGTTCTCAACTTGAAAACAAACATCTGAATAGTCCATAAGAACAAAAGATAATACGAAATTTTATGAACATTTTATGCCATAACATCAATCATTTACATTTGAAGGTTTTGTTGTGATAAAAATACTTTATGCTAAAACTTTATAAGACTGTGATAATGTTCAATAAAATCTTTAGTGGTCTTTCCAACAACTAGCTCTATAATACTTGTATGATTTGTATGTTAATGTAATGTGCTCACCTTCTCCCTGATGGCCTGCTGGAACTTCTTCTCCAGCGCAGACATCCTCTGCGTGTAGTCCTCCGTGATGGTGTTGATGTCTCCTCCGTCGTGCTTGTTCAGTAAACTCTCTATCTGACTCTTGAGGCTGGCGTTACACTCAGCCAGCTCCGCGTTGTTCCTGCTCACCTCCATCAACCTCGACTCCCTCGCGTCCAAGATCTCGGTCATCTCACACAACCTTCTCATCAGCTTATCATTATCTGAACCCTGGCTGTCGTCACTGGTGTTGCTCTGTATCGAAGCTTCGGACAATTCTCTATTATGTCCGCGTATCTTAGAAGCCAGGCTCTTTCCTAATACTAAATCTACAAGGTTGGGTGATGTAGCCCCATCCACTTTTGCTTTGAAGCCATATTTTCCTGGACTGTTTCTGCAACCGTTGCTGCTTTCCCCGTTAGGGCTTGGAATGATTTCTATGTCAGAAGATGTGGCAGTCTCGAGTTCATCACCAGAAGTATGCCCAGAGGTTTGGTCGGACCCAATCTTGACCATATCACTTTTGCTGTCGGAACTCACAGGAGAGGTCCTCTCCTTTACACTGGTTTCTCTCTGGGATGAATCATTGCTTGTAGAGTGACTACACTGTCGTTTCTCTACATTCACAAAAGCAGAGCTCTCAGACTGTAATAAATCACTAGTCACATTGACATTATAAAATGAAGATGAATCACTTAGTTTATCCATTAAAACATCTTCCTGGCTATACTTTTTCTGCTCCTCTATAGATTTTTCTAAGATAACACTCTCATTATCAGCATTTAAGGTTCTGTCTGACCAAGAGCCGTCATTAGAAGAGTTTTCACTGATTTGCATCTTATGGGAGGCCAGAGGCTGCTCCAAGTAAACGAGGTCCCTTTCATTAGTTTTTTTAAATTCGGATCTGGCAAGTTTTGGAAAGGGACTCATGGAGTTGTCATCTGTATCAAGGACCGTGGGGGCCGTGCATTCAGAAATGGAGTTATAAGACATGGTATCCTCATCATCATCTGCTACCAAACTCACACTGTCTGCAGTTTCAGCCCTTTCAGTTCTTTCTCCAACCGGTGTAGACTTCTTGTCTGATGTCTCACCTGGAGACAGATTAGATGAATTGCTGCTGTTTTTGTCACTTGCATAACTATCAAAGCCTAAGCACTCTATAGAGCTGGGACTCACAAGACTATCAGGTAATATTTCAACTGATTCAGAATTATGCTTAACACCAACACTACTACTGTGAGAATTAGAGATGGTGTGACAAGAAGCGGCTTCAGACTCCGGCGATGACTTCAAACTTTGTGACAGAACCTCCACAGAATCAGAGCTGTTCCTGCTGGACATAAATGACAAAACATTAGACATTGTTGAGTCACGACGCTCCTCACACTTAGGAACTTCTTTCTTTACATTCCCACCGTCACCACCATCTGACATCACTAACTGACTAGAAGAAAACAAATCGTCTTGGCTGTCATATTTATCCGAAATGAGGTTCATAGACTTGGCCTTGGGTGGTCGGACTATTGTCTCACCTTCAGATTTTGTTTGCTCAAAAAAGGAACCAGCAAAGGATCCCCATAAACTTTGGGAATTAGATTTAGATGGGCTCATCGTGACGACGGGCTGTTCCTGTATTGGATTTTCTCTCTCACTTTCGGCACTCACCGTTAGGCCCCAAGAAGAAAAAAAGTCTGAATTATCTTTATCATTCATACTTCTGGTAGGTGATGACTTAGAAGTAGAAGTCCCAGTCGGCTCTTCCTGATCCTCGCTGCTGTCATCATCAATATCCAGAGCCTTATCGATAGTTTTCTGAGCTTCCTTTAAAGCTGATTTGGCTAAACTTGTTAGCCCCGATGCATCGAACCAATTCATTTTTTGACAACATTAGACACTTAAAACATCCAAAATAAACTCACTGATTTCACCCAGGAAACATGCACAGAACTGACAGGTCAACACAAATTTAGGAACAAAACAAATTTATTAGAACACAATTATGACGTTTGCTAATTCCATTTTATGTTTACGAATTACAGCAGTCAAGATTCATTCAACATTGAACGAATCACAATTCACAGCTGATGTGTGACGATGTTTCCATTATTATATTTATTTATTACAACTCAATTGTAAAAAAAAATGTATCACAAAAGATTTTTTATTTTTAATTTTTATTGGAATATCTTACATTATATCTAATACGATTTAAATCAGTACCGACATTTGACATTTCTCTTTTGCTTTGACGTGTATAAAAAAAGAAAATGTACGATAAAATGCTCCAGTACTATTGGTTTGTTATTTTCGTCGTGTCATGCATAGCTCCAGTGGCGCAATTGGTTAGCGCACGGTACTTATAAGTCAGTGTTCGTGTGAGATATGCCGGGGTTGTGAGTTCGAGCCTCACCTGGAGCAAATCTTTTGATTTTGTTTTCATGATTTGTTTCGCGTATTTATGAATTTTAATATATCTCCTGGGAATATATTTTTTTAATAAACATAACTGGAATAGAATTAATGACACTTAATTTTATTATTATGAGAAATTTATTAAATAATTGGTTGATATATGTAACAAATATTTTTATTTTACCCTTACTTATTACAGCAAAGTGAACTTTATTAGATACATTTAATATTTTAAAGCCGTTGCCAATACATATTTCATTATGAATAAAAAATGTAAGTCAATAAAAATAATGCATTTTTATGACAACGATGTTACAATTTATCATTTCTGTATCTTAAAAATGCTATAGTTTTCAAGCAAAATGTATAAAACGTAGGGTTTCAGCTCTCATACATAACTCTCTATATACATGTGACGACTATTTACTATACAAATATGTGGGCATATTATCTGTTTCCCCAAAAACTATGCTCCAGGTGAGGCTCGAACTCACAACCCCGGCATATCTCACACGAACACTGTCTTATAAGTACCGTGCGCTAACCAATTGCGCCACTGGAGCTATGGGTACGTGTGGTCAAAACTATGCCTCTATTTTTTTTATGGAAATTGACCTTTGTTTAGAACATTATCAGTTATGCGGTGATTCAAATTTATGAAGTATCATTGTTTAACTTTCAATTAAACTAACTTATGCTTCAACCAATTACCCATTAGTTATTTTCTGAAAATGTTAGTAATAGTAGGTAAGCATCTACACCAGAATTTATAACAGATTTTTTTTTGCAATAACTTGACAAGTAGAGGTGCGCCGAAATGAAGTATGAATATAAAATTCATCACGCTGTGATATATTTTTATTTGTTGAATCGACTGGTTTTTATAAATGCTTGAAGTTATTCTTTAATAAGGAAAATTCCGCTCACTTTGGCACTGAGGTGGAAAACATTTTTTACAAGGAAGTTCTTCGAGTGGAAACAGATTCATGGTAAGATAAACTATTATTCATTCGATAAACAATTATTCAATTTGCCAAGTGATTATATGCCTACTTTGGTCAATGCAAGTCATGTTTCTGCTGGCTGAATACAAAATAAATTCCTACTAAATAGGTATACCCAAAGAAGCTTGCAGTTCGTTTTGGTACAATTTGTCTAACTGTGCAGTGATCTTTTTTTGTTGCTAAGTAGTATTTTTGACGTTTTGACTATTTTTTGAAACTTATTTTTGTTTTGGCTGGGAAATATACTTACAATTGTTTTGTTAAATTGCAAAAAAAATATTTAAAACGAGAAATGTTCTAAGTCAGATTTTTTTAGTTGCCAGCAGTGGCGGCTGTACCTTAAGTGCGCCCGTGCGCTGAACCACCAAATCAAAATATTTAAAAATTACAAAATATTATGTCATCTTAATTTTTAAATTACCATTTTAATATTTATTTTTTAAACATACAAAAAGGTATAAAAAATTTAATTTCCAGTTATGGTCAAAAAGTTTGAGCGCTTTACTAAACTCATATCGTGCGCTCCGGCGAGTGCACGAGGACTGCTAATACATCTTGTATGAGACACGCATTAATACGCCTGGCGCGTGAGACAAAAGATAGTTCATAGAAATGTACCGAGTAACGAGTCGGTTCTCGCGCGCCGCACGAAGCGGCCGAAGGTTACCGAGAGCACCCGATGTATGACGTATTGAGCCGGCCGGCAAGGGGCCGGCCGAAAGGATGGGTGCTATGATTGACATTTCGTTAATCGTTATTGGTATTGTTTCAACTTTCACTGTATGCGTGACGCGTTAATTCGTTATTGTTTATAATTATTTCCGTAATTCGTTTTAGTTTTTATTTCGTTTCTATAATAGAACTTTTATTCTGTACTGTGTTTTTTTTTAGTTGAAAATGAGTATAAATATTGATTATATTAAAGAAAATAACAAAATTTTTCAAAGTAAAGTGAACATAAAATTGGCCGGGCCGCCACGGCCCTTTTTAAATTTAAAACAAGAGTGTAAATCGAAAAATAAAGCATTTATACGAAGTTTTAAAAGTGAAATGTATAATAGAAAGAAATGGTTGTGTGGATGTGAGCGTCTTAATGCATTCTTTTGTTTTCCTTGCATTATTTTTGGCGGAGAATCGATTTGGACAGAAACTGGAATCAAGGATTTGACGCATTTAAGTGAAAAAATAAAAAACACGATTCTTCACAAGTACACCTACAAAATGTAATGAGTTTGTGTGTGTTAGGCACAGTCGATATTCGTAATCAGCTAGATTCTGTGTATAGAAGTAATATCCAAAAGTATAATAAACAAGTTGATAAAAACAGATACATTTTATCACGTCTTATCGATTGTGTCAAGTTTTGTGGTGCATTTGAGTTAGCTTTGCGAGGTCACGATGAAACTATTGAGTCCAGTAATGCTGGAGTGTTTCGTGGATTAATAGACTTTGTATCAGAGTTGGATATAGTTATGAATTAATGTACAAAAAATAAACATATTTTATGTCAATTGTTGTTTTTGTCAATATTTTAGTAAAGTGAACCACCAGTTCTATAACCCACCAGCCGCCACTGGTTGCCAGTATGTTTTATATGTAAGGATGCTGAAAAATTTAAAAACCCTCTATTTCCTCAAAAATATTACTGGGGATTTTTTCAATGTGGTTTCTGTTTATTTAAAGAAAATTAGATTAACGCAACTATGAAGAAATGCTATTACCCATCTAACGTCTTACATCTAGAGTTTTTTTACATATATGACTTTTTAATGCAGAAAATTAGATAGTGTGAAGTAAAGTAAACAAAATGTAAAGAGTACTTAACCAATGTAATTTACATATTAATTTTTATGGCCTGAATAAAAAAATAAAATTTCTATCGGGAACGAGTTAAGAATCACTTGTTTTAAAATTTACAAACAATTATCTCTATAAATTGTCTTCTATAGGACTTTCAATTGAATAATTGATTATATTGCTAATTTTCTTTAATTTTAATGAATATTTATATCTAATTATCATTTTGTTTTTACATTGTTCATTTTGGTTAGGAAGAAACTTCTGCAAATTGTTGCTTGAAATTGGAATGGGATATTTTACGATATCGGAGATTCTTTCAGTTCAGTATTTAGCGACAGCAAGCACACTTGATCGTATTTGGTAAAATTTACAATAAAAACCACACATTTTCAATATATTCTCTATTATCACAAAAAACATTGAAGAACCGTAAGTAAGGAGCATACGTACCTAAACAGTTACAGAAATATCTTATGATTCCTATGTCCTTATTAACCATTTAAGTTACATTGTTCGGTCTCATGTATAATATCTGTCAATGTTTGAAAAAAACGTATTCTAGGGAAAGGCCTGTTTAACAGCAATCTTCTATGCATGAAGCTTATTATATTACAGTTTACGCAACATTTCCATACCACATATTACAGTTTACCCTATCTTCCTGTTTGTTAGTAGGTACATTATGCTTTATTGGCATAAGATTTCTTTCAACACAGACGATTCTCCGGAGCTTGATGAGCAAAAACAAAACATCTGTCAGTGTGGTTTAGACAATGACATTGATCCTGTTGTCGGGTACAAAAAACTATGCTCCAGGTGAGGCTCGAACTCACAACCCCGGCATATCTCACACGAACACTGTCTTATAAGTACCGTGCGCTAACCAATTGCGCCACTGGAGCTATGGATGTTATCACTCAAAAATATGGTTTTGAATTCCGCTCTTTACTGTGGGATGATTTAATGACAGTTATCGGACCCACAGATTAAATCAGTTGGCTAAATTTTGAAAATTGTATGCGTAAAACCACAGAGAAACGTTAACATTGAATAGGGCTCAAATTTCAATGTTATACAGTTTTCAACATGTCATGGTTTTAAAGCAGAATCTTCATTTGCTTTTAGGGTGGAAAAAGGCGATTTTAATGCTTTTAAGTTATGCAAAATCAAATTTCATATGTCTGTTCGGCTATTCTGATCCATTACAAGGAGATTCATCAATCGAATCGTTAATGGCGTAAACTATTTATGGTTTGAAATAGATTATTTTTTGTAATTTTATCTTAGACACTCCACTTATTCTGCTAACATTTCTTAACTTTTTCTGCCAAACACCAATAGGAAATACAGTATACCAATGGTCTTACTTAAACAGTTTTGTTAATTTTCTTTTCTTAAAGATTACGATCGGTAGATGGTAACAAGTAGCTCTAATTAAAAATATGCATATATGAACTTACTAAAATGTTATAGATGTTTACGTAATTACATCTCATTCGTTTTAATGAACACTTCATTGTCTTTCTCATTGCTCAGTCAAATTAAATTGTATCGGACTAAACTGAACACCATACAAGATGAAAATTTAGAAGATAACCTAATGAAGCGAAAAGGTTTTGGAGAATGAAACTAAACTGGTTGTCGTGTCAATAGATTGTTTTATTTTTAATGAACATCGTTAGGTGCTCTATACTCGTGTGTCTTAGTGCCGGTTCGTTTCGTGTTCTTTTATTATAACAGCGTATGTCAATAATGAAATATCAAAATAAATATACATATTACGTGAAATTCGTGAACTCAAGAAATTCAACATTTTAATAGAAAGACATCAGTAATAGGTGACCTTAGTACGAGTTCGCCTTGATTAAATGAACAGAACATTAATAAACCTTTCGATTAATAAAACTTAACATCTAAGCGCTTTTACTTTCAAACTGTCGGAGTTTTGTTTGCAAATTCGTATTAAGGGTACAGTAACTACTGTAATAAAACGACTACTGTAATAAAACGACTCACAGGTCATCGTCGTAATTCTTTACAATCAATCCATAGTTCAAATAATTTATGTCGTTCGATCAAACAAAAGTCAATAAGTGTACTCATATAATTAATAATTTATTTTAATGTACATATATTAATACAGGATGGGCGTCCTTGTTTAACGCCCGTGTTCCCACTCGTGGGCGTCGCTCGTGATCGCTCGTCTACACGACGCCCGTGTTCCCGGTGGTGGGCGGCGCCGGCTGTGGGAACATGAAGGCCGAGGCGTTCTGGAACAGCTGCTTCTTCACGAAGTCCGTGGTCGCCGACTGTAGGTTCTCCTTGGCGCCGAACTTACATTTAATATAACCGTACAAGTTGGCGCCCGTCAGAGTGAGAGCTATTAGCACGAGGAGCTGGAATACAGTTTACATTCAATTAAAGAACATTATCCACTACTGGCGAATCGGTCTTGTATGGTGACATACAATACTTAGACGAATAGTGTCTCTTTATGTGGAATATATATACATAATATATTACTTGATAAAAGGATGTTTGAGTCAGTTATTAGTATTAGTGATTACAGACAGACGGGAAGAGATTGTTTTCAGTTAGTTAGTCTCCGTGTCTGGTAGTATTGTTATTTGGCATCTTCTGCCAATGAAAATGCATATAATTGGAGTTTATCATAATTTTCTTGATACTTTCTCTGGAGGCAATTAAACGTGCTCTGTTCATAAGATTTAATATTTGTAATTTATGACGCTTCGTGTTTGATGGTTACCGACCATCTTTTATATTCAAAGATCTGTTTTAATTTCAGTAAATTTTCCGATTACCCTAGGAAAATGTCTAGCTTCATGGGTGTGGATTTATGGTATACCAAAAGGTAATGGTTCGATTTCTCCCTGGTATGTTCCCAAACTTATAACTTCAGCTTACATCTATATCTACATATATAGTTTCCTAAATCCTATATCGGTAGTCCTAATGATTAATTCAATGGATGAGAAAGCAAAGTCACGACGACATTAATGTACATCATTTTGGTGTAGAGGAGTTCTACTCTTATTGATTCTAAAGACCTGGCTCACTTTCCTATGTAGTCTTTTTCTGGTTTTAATTTTATTTTCTTCAAGATTATCCTATTCTTTTAGTATCTCCTCTCACATAAGCTGTATGGTATATTTACAAACAGCGTCGTGTAACTAAGAGTAATGCTTGTGACGCTAGCGACTAGCGAGGTAATCCTAGGTTGTTGATAGTTGTACAATGTTTTCCAGTCACTGTTGACTAATGTAATAGTGTTGGACTCTCTGAACAAACATTTGCCAAAAGAAGCTAACTGTCATTCCATATTAAGCAATATCAATATTTTTTTTAACCCTATTAAAGTTTATTATTAACTTTATCTACTACATTTTATTAAAGTCTTAAAACCCCTTACACATAAACTGTGATTAAAGGATTATATTGGTACGTGCTAAGCACTCAATCAAAAAATCATACTCTAAAAATACCTTCCATTGTTTAGGAAGAGGACTGATAGTCTTACACATCGGGACCTGTATCTACCAAACATACATAAGAAACATCGCAAGAAAAAATGATTGAAATCACTAGACCCATTTGAGAGCTACTACACAAGCGCACACATACCAAAAACAATCTACATCATATCTGATACATTTATGAAAGTAAATTTGGTAGTATTGAAATTAAATTACATAAAAAAAATTAGGAAATTTCTGGGAAAGGTGGTGTTTTAAAATTAAAAACCGATATTTATAAACTCACTGCAAAATGTAAAATTACACATTGGGACATCTGAAATTAAGGTAGTGTTGGTGGACTATGACAAAAAACAATACTAACTGACACACACATCTCGTCTGCCTGATACCACAGTTAATGATGCAATTAGTATTCTAAATATACTCTAAATTGACTTATTGTAGGAGATAGTTTTTATACTGTTTTGAACTTAAAAAGAATTAAACTAGAAATATGATAAAGCTAATTGAAACTATCATTAGCAATATCATGACCTAAAGGAGTTGAAACATTTATATTCATAAAGTAACAGATATTACTTTAAAAACAAATTTGAATTAATATTTATTCTTCAAAAGAATGATTTTTATTGAAGAATAAAAATCATATGTAATGTATAATTTCTGTGCAAGTGTTATCAATGTTTGATATGAAATGAGTATGATGTTGTGTAATTGTGAATGAAACAAATTACCATCCACTTAAACTTAAGTCCAAACAGACAGATGATGAAGAACCCCGCCCAGATGAGAGGACACAGGATGAGCCCCATCCAGAACAGGCGGCTCTCATTACGGTTTATACGACTCTGAAACATTACACACTGTGTGTTATAACTTAATACATTTATTATAACGGCAGTCTGTTTGTGTTGACTGTACCTGTCTTGATTCAAACACCCAATGTGACTTGCCATCATCGTCCACATAGTTCCACCATCTCAGACCCACCAGTAGTCTACCTGGTGACAGAGTTATACCAAACATTACAAAGGCATAAAGGTAATTCAGTTTGCTTTGAGACTGTTGAAAAGAATACAGTAAACTCAGTTAACCAGACAAATTGTTGTTGGTATGATAATCGCGAATCCGTATAACTGAGGGCCGGATAATCGAGTTTCTACTGTACTATGAAGCCTTTTATAATTTGTGGCAAAAACTTATGTCAGTTATAGTATGTAAACCTATTTTAAGCATTTTTATATCCTTGTGAAAAATCTGACAGATTATACAGGGTGACTGGTGAATTACTATCAATATTTAAGGAGAATACTCGGTATATGATTCTCATTCGAATTATGTAAAAAAAATAGGTACTTAATTTTTGACCAAATTTCCGTATAAATAAATAAAGTGTGGACACGTTCCAAGTGTGGACGCGTGCGGCGGCGTGCTGATACAGCACCACGCCGCCGCACGCGAATGTGTGTATACCTAATCTGTAGGGTGTTCACACGATGCGTAATTAATTACATAACTTTTGGTTAACTTACTTAGAAGTTTATTAATATTTATGTTATATTAATTTTTATTTTGTCATATATGATCGTCAAATATCACGTCCTCAACTATCAATAGTAATTCACCAGTCACCCTGTAGAACATTGACATCACTAAATTATGACTATATAAATTAATGAAATCATAAAATACCACTGATGTTCTTGACGGTCCAAAAATCGGCAGAGAGAAGTAATATAACTAGGACGAAGCTGGCAATGAATGAGTCTGAGAACCAGCCGCAGAGGATGTACACGACCACCGCCGCACTCCGGAACACGAGGTGGAAGAAAACTATGTAGGGGTGACTGGAAGATACACAGACACCACAGATAAATATATAAACAATTAAACAAGAAGACCAAAACATGGTAAGAATTTAGATTATATAGAAAAAATTTATTCAGCTTTCGAGGTAGTGTTTTAGACATTTTTATTATCGAGAAAGACCTAGGAATGTGAATGTCGTTAAACGTTCTGAATGAATGTGAAACTCACACAAATTGCTTATTTGCATTATCCTCTTCCCCAAAGGCAATGGTGTCATCGTCGAGCAGCGGCACCTGAGGCACACCTGGCTGTAATCGCGCAGTAACACGTCTACATGAGCTCAAGCCGTGCAAAGCAAATAAGTAGGAAAACACACAGTATGAAACTTTAAAAAAACAAGTTATAAGGAATCATTACGTTAATGATGAATTAGTAAGGTGCAAATAAAAAGAGCCATAAAACTAAATTACATGGTTCTAAATTATGATCAGAGCTCTAGAGTTCACAATACTTTTAATAAAAACAAGTATCTTTCACTTACAGTTGCTGAATTCATTGTGATTATCCTATAAACGAATTAATAATATTATAATTTAATATTAAGAATAATTTTAAAAAGTAATAGGACACAGGGAAACCGTTTAATATATATGTGTTCCTTGAATATGTAATTAATATATAAAATCGTAGATATTATCGTTATTGGTTGTGTTTGTCAAACTAGGTGACATGTCAATTGACATGTTAACAGTCAACACTGATACCTATATAATCAGCTGTCAGTTCTAATCCGTAAGAAGCATTCAGTTGCAAGCATATATTTCGTTCCCGAACTTAAGTATTTCTAATAATTTGGAACTCTAATTATATGTATTTCGATTTATCTATAATTATTGTATGTTATTCTGTATTATTTTAACACCGAACATAAATTTACTTATTCATTCTGAAAAAAAAGTTTATTGTAAGGTCATATTAACTTTCTATTTATTATTTCTGAAAGATAAAATAAAGAAGAATCTCCTAAATGCGGTTTTTATCTTTAGAATAGTAATACGAGGTTAAAATATAGCTTGAGGAAAACTTTCCGAAGGCAGCATAGTCGTAAAATGCCTTAAATTTTTGGGTGAATGAGCGAAGAAAATTAATGTCAGATGGCTTACCTGCTAGTTTACCCAGTTGTACATTCAAAATTTGGGAAAAATTGATTTTTATATTATCCATATAAAATGGTTACTATTAAGATATTAAAGTACAAAATAGATAATAAGAAAAAATATCATATCTTCATTCTTCAATGTATCATCGCCTTTACATCATGTTCTTTTATAATCGCAGCTTTTAAACAAATGATAAATATTTATAAATAAAGAAACATGACATATAATTTAACCAAAAGATCATGATAATATTTATCGATATCGATATTTCACTACTAATCATTAACAACATTACATATGACTGATGAGAACTGTCAAAATTTTGCAGGAAGGCGCATGCAACGCTGTTTACAAGTAGCCAGTAGGTACTCGCAAAGTTTTTCTGTTTGTCGCCCAGCGTTTGTTTTGCTGCATTCGGTCCGTGTTTTGTACGATGTCTTCCGGCACCCCGGGTGTCATGTTGAGCGAGCGTTCGTGATTCTCGCGTCGGGTCGTGACAGGTGTAATTTGCGTAACGTAGACGATGGGCGCAAAGGCGAGCACCGCAAACGGAGGCCAGAGTCCGCGAGCTAGAACATTTTCTACGAGCTCGAGTTCGGATGTGGTGTCCGGGGGGGCCGGGTTCAGCCTGCTCCGGGCCATACCAGGTATCCAAGTGTCGAATGATAGACAGCGCGCGAGATCTTTATCGTCAGTGCCGGATTTGCACGCATCTCACGAAGCCATTGCGATTCCACCGAACTCTCAGAGCTACGAGGTGTCTGCGGCCGCCAGTCCCGACACGGACTCCAGCTCCAATGAGGAGGCTCCCGTAGCCAGCACCTCGCTGGCCCTCGGCCGGGTGTACGCCGCGCATTCTCTGCCTTCACATATTTGGTCCATAAATGGCAAGTGTGCATTTTATTCTATTACAATAAGAACAAACCATTTGTCTCATTATTTACGTTTTGTTTGACTGGATGGTGTTTACATAACATGTTAGTATACCCACATCACAGTTCAAATTGCTTATATTTCTTATAAGACTCTAGTTGGTGATTTCAAAAGGTAATATATTTAAACTGTAACTTTGCTGTACTGTATTTATAACATTTTTCATGGATATTATAAGAAACAGTTCTTTATCATCGGTGTTGTTCCTCTATCTTACTAGAGATTCTATAACAAATAAAAATTTTGCCTAAAAGTTGCAACATATTATTAGTCATGTTTATGAAAATCATGTTGTTACATAACAATAGATAGCTTGAGTTAATACATTCTTATCATGACACACACATTATCGTAATTAAAATACAATAACAAATAAGGGATATTCATTCTTAGAATAATATTACATTAACAGCTAGTCATTTAATATTCATCCAAAGAAAGGAACATATTTTATAATAATAGATTATACATACATAGGAGATTTTTTTGTTTTGAGGTGAATCAATGTGTAATTATTGTATTCCGATGTTGTTTTATCATGAGTGACTTTACCTTACTGCTGATTTCTTGTGACAGGTCTTTTAAGAGCTTGAGATGGCAAAATTTATTTCTGAGCCTGTCCATCATCTCATAGAAATTAGATTAGATCATTAGATGTATGTTAGTATAATTCAATATATTTTCCTAGTGCTATGATGATCATATGAGCAGTTATTTAGTGGTGGTATGCAATATAAAATATACAAAACACATACAGATTTTGTTGTTGATGACATTAAAATCTTTGTTTCGTTGTGGTAATTTGTAACTGTTTGTTATTACATATCTAAAGCTTTCCGTCTTAGGAATTCCAGAGTCAATTGAGTGTGTTAATACATACAATGAGATTATTTATATGTGTGACATAATATTTGAAAGTAGTTATGCAAAGTATACAGGTATAAATGAAATTTTTGATAAAATATAATTATGGCGAGAATCAATATTGTGTTGGTGCAAAGTGTAATGAAATCACAGAGGTATCTTCTTAAAACAAATCTCAAATTAGTGATCTAACACGCTCCATAGATTGATTTAAATGAATTTATAGTTAGTATAATCACAGTTTAGTTTCTGTGTCGGTCCAGTAGAGTCGAAAGTTCTCTGTAATGTTTAGGTCAGCAATTTGACGATGTATATTTTAAAATGTTTATATCAGTGTCTGGTATAAATAGAGACCATTCACTGTCACACAGTTATTTGTTTACCCTCTACATCTCATGTATGGAGTATATACCTAGCATAATTTAAATGTCCCAAGATTTCTGTTATATACTTAAAGAAAATTCTGTGTCTTTTTGAGCTCTGTTTTTACAATCATCAAGAGTCAATGTTATAATTGTATTTTTTCTGAGGACTTATTGTGAATAAAAATATTTGTGTCCTTTGTTAAAATACATTGTAAATTATTAAAAATATGTTCCAGGAAGTAGAAAAAACTGTATAAATCATACTTTTTTTTGTATCTGGTTGTGCTGTTGACTTGGTTCAAGTAATTTGTCATTATTTTAAAATTTTACTGAGTGCTATTCCTTATAGCAATAAGGAAATATTTGTTTGTTAAAATGCGTTACGTTATATTAAATTTATGCGATCATGCCCTGATATTATTTCGCGTAAATAAAAAGAACTCTCGATCTTAGTTATTTTTAAATCAATAACTTACACTGAATTTAATTTGTTTGGGACAAAATCATTTTTTATTCCTTGGTCCCAATAAACAGGAGTTTAAAACAAAAATATGCTTGCATTTAACGTAATGTTATAATGCAATTGACTCGTCTTTGTCCCAGTCGGCGCTTTGCCAACAGTGACCATATCAGACTTTTAACATCTATAACTAATATCAAACTTTATATATATACTTATATTATATACCAAAAAATATATATCATCTCTGACGTTCGTTAAGGATACATGTTGGACGTAAAAGAAATATTTTTGATTAAAATTGGACTAATAAATGTGGCAATGGAATTATTATAGTTGTTAAAAAAATATTATAAATTGATATTGACCTTCGTAAAGTTAAATTGCGTGTATTGCTCGAAGATAAAGTTTTGTTGTTTAGGTCGAGTATTTAGTAGAGTAATCTGAGACTGATAAGAAGAAAAGAATAGATCAAGAAAACAAAATACACATATATATATACACATATAATATTCATCTTAACTCGAAGCCAATCAACATATATCAAGATTACGTGACATCTTTTCTCATATTCTTAAAACAACACACGTTCTAAAAGTCTCCATTCCTCTTGTTTATGCATATTGTTTAAAATAGTCCCAAAGCACTCGAAGTCTCATTAATAACTGCAGGACTTCCTATCGCCGCTAATAAATATATTTTTTATATCTCTGTGAGTCTGTGCGTCAATTCGTCTAGCTCTCCCGTAATAAATCCCGCACTTTTCCGGGTTGTGAGTTGCGCCTACGCGTGTAAAGCTCAGTCGTCCGCGATCCTCCACACAGTCAACTCGTGTCACTATGTACCGCCGCAGATATCGCACTACCCTCGGCCTGGGGCTGGGCTCCTCCTTCTCCTCGTCGTTTTCGACGACCCTCTCATTCACCTCATCCCGTACTTCTTCCACGACTGATTCTGTGCGATCAGACGCTCGTGCCACAGCAGCTAAGCTCAAGTCAAAGTATGAAAACGCCGGCACAGCACAAGGTCTGTTTGTTTGTGTGCTTGTGTTTGTGTCTGTTTGTGCCTGTGCCTGCCCTCTTAGATGTCGGTCATTATTAAATTTTGATTCTGTTATGATTGAAGTTATTTATTTGCATTAGGTCAATTAGTTTAAATTGGATGTTCATAAAGAACATATATCGATGACGTTAGACAGGCCGGTGATTTTTTTAGAACAGTTATTTAACATCTGAACGGTTTAGTTTTTAATATACGTGATCAATATTTAATATATTTTGTGATTTCACAGTTTCTTCTCTCTTAATCCAACTCGTAATTTATTTAGGTATTCTATCGTGAAGGACAAAGTTGTCTTTGTCATTTTCTTGTTTTGTATTATTTTTTGTTGTAACATAAGCATTTCCTTGTGTCATGTGGGTCAAATTTCTGGTGTGTGGTGCCAAAAAGAAACATGCTTATATGTATCTATTTGTAAATCGTAATATAATCGGCGGAACGGATGTATAGACTAACGAATGTAATTCCCAAGTAGCTTGACTGCTGTCATAAAATATATTAACTGGAAGCTGTCGCCAAGAGGTCATCTATTTGCCGGCGGATAGTTTAACCGGCTAGCCGATAGCCTGGAGCTAGCGGCCCGGCTCGTGGCACAAAACAAGCCAATATTTTAGGTCAATGTTGGAAACTGGAGCGTGCGAGCGCTATTCATAAGCGATGTATGGGCTCCTGACTTGCAACTTTATCGCACTATTAAATTTGATAGTTACATTCAGTTCCCTAATTTTATTATTATGTTTTGATAGCGATTATTATAGCAAAAGTTTAAATTGCTCCTAATGGCTGTATCTTTTGTTCTGGTTTTGAAATTATTAATAAATTAGAATGAAATATATATTTTTATAATTTTGTTAATCGAAGAAGGAAGCTATCGATCACCTATAATTCAATAATTGTAAAACAATTGTATCATAGTGAAAACTTTGCCAGTATTTGTGGAATAGACTTTTTTAAACTATTCTATGTACCTAATTACATAACTAAAGTATTTTAATTAAACAGTGTTCGTTTCTGTATTCAGTTAGTAGTTGCACTTGGAAGTCATAATTCATTCTATAACACGTTAAAAGCTGGAGAGTAAATCTTAGAAATGTTCAGTTCATTAAATTCGCTCCGGCTACTGGTGATTACAGCTCCACGGAATTAATCCGCGACTAACTACCACTGCTAGCTTTTAATTTGCATGCTATTTATAGAAAATGTTTTCTAAATATTATAAACAACAATATAATATATCGTGTCATTGGTTAGTGTGTTCAAACACTGTTATTTTTCTGGTTTTTCTTGTAAATAGCTCCGTGAGAAGCAAGTAGTTAAATTAAAGAATTCATAAATAACGTGATATCATATAGTTATAGTTAAAATTTTGTTAAAATTCATAATAATAATGAAGTTAAACTATATTTTGTATTATAGACAAAAAAATATCGTGGCCAAAGAAGCGAATGGATTGATTTAGAACGTTAAATTTTTTAAGGTATACATATATTTTGTAGGTGATAGGCTGGTGTCTTCTAGTAATATGGAAAACTCACCGTATTCTGGATGCTTTAATGGAAAATTCTAAAAGTGCTCGAAGTTTAAGACGTTATATTCCAGCTCGTATATCTTTATAACAATATGAAAAAAGGAAAAAAAGAAATATTTGTTTTTATAAATGTTGTAGAGACGATTTGCATGCCTTAACGTCTGAGTGTTTAAGATAAATATCAAATGTATCATTATAGACTGTTTGATAAGCGACCAACATTTTTAATATGTTCGGTATTTGATGTATGAATGTGTGTTCGTCGACATTGCCTTTGATGTTTTTAATTAGGTTTTTTTCATAGCCCAGTCACTTCACGTTTTAATAACTTATATTATATTCTGATAGTGTGTGGGAAGTTTAAGTTTACGATTCAAACAGCTAAGTGACTCTATCGTATATATTTATGAGTATTGAGTCTGAACCTCTTTCAAGATATCTGCAATAGTAATGAGACAAAGGTAATTTTATCAACATTCCTCCAGCGATAATATACAAATTATAAGTTTAAAGTAATATGAGCAATCCGATATACAAATATGTGTACAATACTTAATAGGATGTATTGTTTTAATGGAACTGTATGGATAAATAAATGTCTATCATAATTTCCTAGATGTAGTTAATATGCCGTCTGAATGTACACAGGTTTTATTAAATCAACCACTCCAGTGATTGTGTCGTCTGGCACGGCTTCTAACACATATTTGTTCTCTTGTTCAAATAAATTCATTATTATTTATCGTTCACGTCTCTTGCTCCTTATCTTTTTGATATTATTGAAACTACTCGGATCGTTTGTTTATTTTGTTCACATACAGATTTACTTACCGTCTTTACATCTGTACTTCGAGTCCTAATTGTGTTAAAGGACAGCTTCCTTATGACCTTTGACCTATCGTGTTTGACTAACCCATGTTGGAGGTGCAGTCGTAAATAAAGGTATCAGATGTGTGTAAAAAAAAAAACCTGACATAAAATTTAGACATTTAAATATAATTTTCCTTAAAACAAATTTTGTCAAAATTCTATTTGGTTTTCGTTTTTTTCGCGTCTTATTTACTAAGATTTAAACAGGTTTTCAAACAAATCTTGTATTTCGAGTAACGTGAGGTGAGTTTGGTGTAATCGGTTCATATTTAACGTTTTTTACTTTATATATTAAATAGGTATATAATTAATTCATTATAATTGGTATTTCGTCTACTTTGTCAATGTTTAGATCTTATGAAATATAATTTAAATATATACATTTTTCCAACGTTTTAGAGTTTGTATAAAATGTATTTAATCGTATCGAAACTAAGAAGAATGAATTGGAAAACATATAGACATACAGCTTTTGTTGTATGTGATGTGAAACATAATAATATGTAAATTATATTAACGTTACAATAAAACACATAAAAACTGAATGTATAGATGTAGATAAATTAAAGTGTCTAATGTGTTCTTTGTCTCGTACTGATGAGTCGTGGCTGTGATCGTTTTTTGTGGATGAATCGTGATATTGATATTTAAATATTACTTTATTAATAAAGAACAGCTATTTGACTATGTTGATGGTCGTTGGGATGGTAGATTCCCGTGACATGGTAGTTATAGTATGATAAATATTAAATACCTTTTTGTTTATTACTATATCTTAAGGAAAACATCGTGAGGAAACCTGGACTTATAATTGCAAATAAGTTTGTTATCACCGACCCATCTTGAGCAAGCGTGGTGATTAATGCTCAAGTCTTCTCCACGTGAGAAGAGGCCTTTGCTCAGCAGTGGGCTCTGATAAGCTGATGATGAATATATCTATTAGAACTATTCTTTGAACACCGCTTCTATTATGTTACGACCTTATTTTACCCTCAATTTTCCACTATACCAACTAATTCTTTTAATCATTATACACTCTATATAGTTATAATCGTAACGGATTAGTTATTTAACATTGAAACATAATATCCGTCTCCACGGGCTTATCCGTTGTTGTAGTGATTCTCGTATTAGTGCCATTGATTACGACCAGAGTTGCTGATGTGACGTCACTAACAAATATTATTAAAAAAATTCTTATATATACAGACTTTGAGTACATTGGATACATACAATGATGGGATTGTTTTCATATTTTTATACATAACAAGTCATTATCATTTGTCAGCGTACACCACTCACTCGTCACTGCACCTGCTTAAACTTGGAAACGTGAAAAATAGGTCATCCTACTAACGGGGAAGTTTAAAAGCGTTCTCGACGGCTATTTAGCCTTCGACTGTTCTGACTTAAGAAACATCACAATACAGTCAAATATTTCACAACATGCACTTTGAAATATTCGATGGCATTGGTTTTAAATAATACATTAGACATGTGACGCTGCCACAAGGTCTGACACATGTGGAGTGTCTCTTAATGCAGTCACTACATGGATTTTGTTTTTATATTTACACTGTAACTACATCTGGATCGTTCAAGGCAGGAAATTATTACAAACTATACTAATTATATTTTTTCTATAAAACCAAATACACACAAGCAATCTCTCCAATTTAAGACACATAGAAGTACTTGATTACATATATCAATTATTTTATTATTAAAACGCTAGTACATATTTACAATCATACATGACTATCGAAATATATATATTTTTAAATTATCTTTATATTTGGAAGATTTAAACTGACGGATTTAAATGTCAGAGGAACATTCAGCTGTCAAATATGTTAGGAAACGAAAACTTCAGGCCCAGATTATGGAGAGGACTTTAAATAATATGAATTACCAAAGATTATTAATATATATAATGTTCTGTAACAGTATATTGTCTGAAATAGCCGTACATCTGGTCAGTTCGCCGGTCGCTCCACTAACCCGATGTGATTTAAATAGCGCCTGCGCACCTCCCCCCTCCCCCCACACACATCACTCATTGGCAAACGTCGAACAAGACTGAAACAGTTTTATAGATGATAGTTAGTGTGTGATGATGGTGATGAGATAGAATCATCCGGAAAATAAACAAACATCAGCCACGGTTATTAAGTATGTGTACAAAACTAAAGAAACAAAAGAAGTCGTCATATTATTAATAATTTTATATTTAAAATTACTTATATCTGTTATCTACATGTTTTTGGAATTTAAATAATTATAATTTTATAAGTGATATTTTATTAAAGGCCAATTAACTCGATTGCACAATCAGGAGAAACTGTAAAAATGAAACTTCTTGGGTAAATAAAGAGAAATATTTTAGGCAAATTTTGGTTAGTCTCTCAGTTTTTGTAAATTATGTTTGTAAGTAAAAACTTTTCGAATCTCTGTTATTTAAACAGATTTAAAAGCTCATAAAGTTGCGGCTAAAGTTAGTTCTGTTATAATATATGAAATCGTAATGGCCAGCGTACCGTGAGCCGCAGACTGCTCCCTGTACGTTTTATTTTGTGAACCGAGAGTTTTATAACAAGTTTCCATTGTAATGTAAGTTCCACAATGGCCGCGGGGTTCATAAGGACCCACCGAG